AAACGACTCAGCTGCCACAGGTTGGGTTCCTCTGGTTATTACCTGTCTTGCTCAGCTTTCATTTAATTGTATAATGGACGACACTGAATGGAATATGCAGACTTTTGGTTTCATTATAACTGCTTTATTTGCTTGCCAATTTAGTATTACATTTCTATAATATTTTATGCTTTTGCATTATATCTACCTTTTAACTGAAGAAATAGTTGAGGAATGTCATACAATTCTAATATGTAACTAGTTATTTTGGCTTGTGCCAACTGCCAAAGTAACCTGGGAATGTCATTACTGTCCATCTGTATTTCTACAAAATGCCTATACTTTGTGTACTTTATTTTTATGAACGCTGAAACTTTCCTTTTTTTTTGCTATGAAATAGGTCAATGGTGAAGTAAGTGGGAAAAGTGAGACCAGAGAGAGTGGTAAGTGTGTACCAATGAGACTCTATAAAGGTGATCGTTACTATTTATTTAGGGTAAACTTCAGATTTCACATGCTATAATCCTTAACATTATATCTAATGACATAAAAGCTTTACCATTTATTTCTAGCCTATATCATTTTATTGAAAGTGATTTGATAGGTACTATGTTTATGTACCACGGGAGCTGTTACATGAGTAACATTTGCCTCCCTACACAAAATGACAACGTAGAGTAGTACGTCATTGACAAGATCTGAAGCACACTGTGACTTCGTGTTCGTTCTAGGATGCAGTGTAGCATAATGGTGAAGAGCACAGCCTTTCAGGAGTTTGACTGCCCAGGTTTGAGTCCTGGCTCTTCCTCTGAATGTCTATGTGCTCCTGAGCAAGTAACGTAACATCTCTGCCTTGGTTTCCCCATCTGCCCAGTGGGGATAGCAGTACTTTTTTCATAGGATTTTTGTAAGATTTAAATGAGTAGTATATTGTGTTGGGCCTTTTTGACTAGAGAAACAAATCTAGTGGCACTCATAACTATATCAAGAAACTTTATATATCAGGAAAACATCCCAGCTCTGTCCAACTCAAAGCTGTATATCCAATACTAGTCCATAAGTCCCAGCCAGACTCACCCATTCACAAGCAGTGATGCAGAATGCAGGAATATCACAGGCCTGTGAGTGCAAAGTCTTGTAGATGCAGTGGCAGTGGGTGTATCGTCAGGGCTCTGGTCACTGTCAAGGTCAGCAAGTAGGAAGGTGAAGGCAGAGAGGGAGAGGTTCCCAGGGCCCTCCTTTTGAGAAGGTCATGCCCATAAAGAGTGAACTGATGTGAACAGGCTGTGAACTGATGGACAGGCTAAATTCCACCCCTACACTTCCATAGACCTTCAAGTTAGCATGAAATCATGTAACCACACACACACTCTGTATATCGTTGTTAGGTGCCGTCGAGTGTTTCTGACTCACAGAAGCCTAACAATGCAGTGAAACACTGCCTAGCTCAGTGTCCGCCTCACCGTCACTGTTGTGCTTGAGCAAGTTGCTGCAGCCACTGTGGGTGGTACATTGCATTGAGGGTGTTCCTCTCTCACGTTGACCTTTTACTTTCCCAAGCATGTTCATCTCCAGGCACGGGTCCCTCCTGATAATATGTCCAAAATACACAACCCAGAACATTGCCATTCCCGACGTTAAGGAGCATTCTGGCTGCTCTTCTGAGACAGATTGGCTCATCCTTCTGGCAGTCCATGGTGTACGGAGCATTCTTCGCCAACACCGTAATTCAAAAGCATCACTTTTCTGGTTTTTCTTATTCATTGTCCAGCTTCCACATGTCTTCAAGGCAATTAAAAATACTGTAGTTTGGATGATGCACACCTTAGACCACAAAATGACACCCTTGTCTTTTAACCCTTCAAACTTCAATTATAAGCTGTTATTTATGAGTCTAGGCTGTGGACCTAATCATTTGAGAATTTTCTTTAATTCCCTCCAAAAAAACAAACCCATAAGCCAGTTATTGATGCCTTAGTCACAAATAACAGGGCTTCAAAATGGTCGTGGAAAAATGAAAATTGAAGGTAAAGTAGTTTTTCCATGACCTTTGTGAAGGTCCCTTGCATGTGGCTTAAACAGCAAGACTTAGATATTGCTTTTGCCTTCTTTAAGAAGCTTTAGCTTAAACATAATTGTATGCAAACACGACAGGAAACTCTCACCTTAAAATGTTTTCATACAACAGTGTGAAGAGTGAACCGAGCTAGACATTGATCAGTTCATTTTAACCCTACAACCCCTGAATTTTTAATTTCAGGGAAACACATTTTTTATTCTTTACTTTCATAGTTAGCAATATACATATATATATATATATATATACACATACACACACACATTTAATTAAATGTTGCGAAAACGTCGCCCTTGGCGTTGTAGGGCTAAGATGAATTTTAACCAATATATACTTTTGTATCTTATCCTGCTCAGATTCTACTCTGGTCAGTGGTTTGTTCTCAGTTTGTTTAGTCTCTCGTCAAAATTATCATGCGGCTAGAGATAAAAGGAGGGTTGTTAACAGTTGTGGATATTTTAATTGGGCATTATTGTGACTACTGTTCCCATAGTTCACTGCTGAAGCAGTTTTTTGGTTTTTTTTTAAAAGTACTTTTTAATCTTCCCCTTAAGGTGAGATTTTTGACAGGTTGCCCTCATCCCCTGCCCCAGAAGCAAATAAATTAAAAATCCCATAAGTTTTAATGAGGTTTTTTATTTTAAACAAATGGACACGCGCACACACACAGGGTGGTAAAGCAGTCATTGTGTCTGCTCGCTGCGCGTCTGTAGACTGGATGGCACGTCATGTGGGCTCCATCACTGCTCTTCACCTCTGCTGCCGTCGTGAGAACGCAGCCCAGCCAACACATGGCCAGCGAGGCTTTCTCTGCTCCCCTGAAAACACGTGACCCTCGTTGCCAAACCCTGACATGGAAACCAAATAACAAGCCTCTGACCTGTTGGTCTAGGAGAGCTTGGAGGTAGATGGACTGTTTTTCAGAGACCCCAGACAATGTTGAGCCAGTTCAGGAAAATCTCAGCGTCTCTGCCCTGGTCAGTTCACAGCCATTGGTCTCTCATCCCATACCGGCACTGGCCCCTGCTCTCTAACAGCTTCATGGAACAAGTCACAAACTTCAAGGAGAAAGGGCTGTCTCTAATAGGAAAAAGTACACAGACACAAAGGACAAGATCCGAGAGGGGTCTAGACATACCTTCTATGGCCTCAGTGTCCTCTTGAGAGCAGATCATCTGCTCACTCTGACCCAGAAGCTCCAGTGAGCCGCCACCTCCAACACCACCTTTTCTTGGCCTCACCAGGTGACCATGATAGATTATATCATGAGTGACCACAGGCCCCCAGGTGGTCCTTCTGGTCAGACTCTCCCCCACACCCCCAACCCCCAGTTGACCTTGGGTGTAGTGCTACGCTCAGGAATCGGGACCAAATGCCAGATTGTGTACTACAAAGGCAGCCACACCTTTTACCCTGTAAGATCCCACCAGAGGCTTAAAATAATAATAATTTAGAACCTTTAGATAATTTTTAATCCTTAGACAGTTTTCTGGTTAGTACCTTTTTTCAAAAGTAGAATACAAATATTTTTTAATGTCCACACATTCATTTCCTTTGTTTCATTCTAGTAACAGAGTGAATACCTAATGTCATCGTCGTAATCCCAACATCAGGTTTTGGTGTTTGGGCCTGTATACATGGGGATTTTGAACTGTTTCTTGATAAATGTCAGAACATAACGCTTAATTTGAAAGGTAATAAGTGGTGTGGTGGGCTAACAGCTACGTGGCCTCGGATACACTGGATCTTCTAGGAAACGCTAGCCTTGTCCTCTGTGTGGTCATAGGAGGACACACAGAACTGGGGCTCCTTGTCATGTTTATGCTCTCTCTTCCAAGGGGCCATCACGGCAAAGGAGCTGTACACAATGATGATGGATAAAAGCATCAGCCTGATTATAATGGACGCTCGCAGGTGGCAGGATTATCAGGACTCCCATATTTTAAATTCTCTCAGTGTTCCCGAAGAAGCCGTCAGTCCAGGGTGGGTCATTTTCTGTTCAGAGGAAAACGGTAAACTGGACAGCAGTGTACGTTGCTACTTGCCAGCAGGCTCAATGTGGTAGTCTTTTCTTTTCCTGTTAACCTGTCTATCCTTTGCTCCTTTATGACATTCCTTCCCCTTATCGAAAGGTAAGTGTTAGGCTTAGGAACATTCTAGTTTGGCTGGTTGGGTTAAAAAAAAAAGCATATAGATACTTCTTAGTGAAACAGTATAGCTAAGTGATTTAAAAAGGGCAAATTATGAAGTCAGGTTATATTCAGATCATAACTGCCCCTTATCATATATATTACTTCTAGCTAATGAAATAACCTCTCTAAACACATTTTCCATTTGAAACATGATATTTCCATCTCAAAGAACTTTGAGGATTAATTGAGAAAACATATACTCTCTCTCACAAACAGGTAGCATAGTACCTGGCACTAATAAGGGTTTACTTTAAAATATATGTGTAGTGTTTGTTTGTATAGCTATGTATACACACACACACACACTGTACAATAAGATCCATTATCACAAATGGCTAAGCTAAAACTTCAGTCTGGGCTATTTTCACTATTTCAAGGGCTCTTATATACATTTGTCAGATAATCTCTCTAGGCATCAGTTTATAGGATTGGAGCAATTAAAATCAATGGTGGATTCTAGGGCTCATTTAAACAACATTGCGTGCATATACACATATATTTGATATTAAAACTTGCTAAGGTCTGGCACATTGCAGGTGCCTTATAAATGTTCACTTGAACAATTGAGTAATTTGTAATGTGCTGTTTTAAAATGAGATTAGCATGGTTTATCTGATCAAGTATGTAAATATGAGAGTATATACTCCATAGTTGAAGAGGTGGAGCAAATCATTAATTCATTTTGGATGGTATAATCTATATTCAGAAAGCTGGTGGTTTAGCTCAGTCTTTCCCAAGATGTGAGATCTGAGCAGCTGTAGACATCAAGATAACTTTTAGTGAAGATTAAATTACAATTAGTTGCATACCGAGAAAAGCATTCCCTCTTAATTTCTGATTGAGTCCTTGTGCCTTGGTTAAAGGAATCCCAGTTTGGTGCTAACACACATTTTAATATTTGCTGATCACCACTAGTCCTCCCTTTTTTAAAATACCAAATTAACAGCAAAAAAAGTATGATTGTCATATAATTTACATATCATACAGTTTAATCAATTTTGGAACATTTTCTTCCCATACTTATTGTTGTTAGCTCCCCATTTCCCCCCAACCTTACCTACCATGCCACTAGGTAATGATTAATCCAGTTACTATCTATAGATTTACCTATATTTTAACATACAGAAACAATACAAAACAGAAACCAACAACAATGACAAAACAGCCGAGAAAAACCTCAATCAAAAAGCAAGCAGAAAACATTAAAACTGAAACAACTTTAAAATGTGTTAAATGATAAATAAGGTGCTACATTTTACCCTAACTACATCTACCATAATCAGTTTTACAATGCTGTCTGATAGCAAAACTATTCACAGAAGAGCTTAATCAATGTGAGGAACCTGCAATTGGATTTTGGGCTTCCACTGTCGTCCATAGCTTCTGCAAACCGGCAATCTTTTTCCACAGAGAGCAGACTTGTGGGCTTGCTGTAGGCAGCAGTATCTACATTTAACTGATGCTTATTTTTTCATTGTCTGGTGTTTTACTTTTGCTTTAAATTGAAACAAACTTCAGTATTCATGTAAATTTGCTCCTATCCTAAGTGTTTAATGCAATGAATTTGCATAAATGGAATGTACCACATTTAAATAGCATTGAGACCAAGAAATATAACATGACCATTACTTCAGAAGCCCTGATAGGCCCCCATCAATCTACTCACACCTATTACTCTTAACCCCTCCCACCCAAGGGAAACCCAACTTCTTACAGAGTAGACTGGTTTTGTCTGTTTTTGTACTTTATCTGAATGGAATCATATAGTGTGTAGTCTTTTATGTCTGGTCCCCCCCACCCATACACACACACACAACTTTGTATTTGTGAGAGACATCCATTATTTTATGCAGTTTCCAATTGTTTATTCTCATTTCTATATAGTATTCCACAGTGTGAATATAGCCCAATTTTCTTACATTATATTTATAAAGATTATCTTTATTTCTCGTCTGTGATGCTGTTTTTCCCTTTATATGGAAATTATTTCATTAAAAAATAAACTTATTTAAATAAACGATATATTTTAATAAACATTTTAAATAATACGGAAAGTAAACAGCTGCATGCAGCATGTCGTGATGGTACTATGTGAAAGACTGAAGTTGAGAAACACCATTTGATGTTGCTGTTTTCTGGACAAACTGATCCTGAGAACAACGTTAAACAGATATCACTGGAGTGAGAAGGAGCCCTTGCGACTACTACATTACATTTTTTCTCTTTCTTTGTTGAGCAAGCATCCTTCTGATCTTTAATTGTGCTTCAGAAGACAGTACTGTGAGGTGATATCTCATGTTTCTGATTCTCTTATTTCTTTTTAAAAGTTCATAGAAAATAAGAGTAACCAACATTATTATATGAACAACAACTTTTTGTGTGTGTGTGAGAGTAGTCTTAAGTAATTTCAGTTTTATTTGTGGATATAAGTTTTTCCATTTTACATAGTTATTTACCTTTACCTAGTTTAACAGGATCGCCAGTTAAATATTGAAATTCATACCATAAGTGCTATGAATTCCCTTATCTAAGAAATGAATCTGGATTACTCATTTGTTCAATCAACAAAGATTTATTGAACATTTAGTATGAATTGGTATTGTTCCAAGTACTAGGGCTTAGCCACTGCGCAGACAAAGATCCTTACCTTCTTGGAACATATATTGTAGTGGGGATCTCGGGAGGGCGGTGAGACAGACAGCAAGCGTGACTGGTGTTGGAGTGCTGTGGAGACTGGAGTGTAGCGCCTGAAAGGCGGACATTAGCGTTCATCCACAGAGAGCTTGTCTTGAGGTGCAGGATGAGCGCTGCAGCGATCTGGAGGCCGTGGCTTCCAGACAGGAGCAAAGGCTCTTAGGCTGAATGAAGCAGGGCCTAACAAGAAGCCAGTGGCTGGAGTGAAGTTAGTGGGAGACAAGCAGTTGGAAACGAGGACATTAAAGAACGAGGATGGGGGGTAGGGGTGGTGACATATATATTAAGGGTTTATAGACCATTATAATGACTTTCGCTTTTGTGTGAGTTAAAAAGAAATGAATATCCTGTCTTACTATAGCTGATGTGATTCCGTACAGCTGATGCTATATAAGAGACAGCCTAGCAAAGCAGCTAAGAGCATGGGGCTGCCTGAGTTTGAATTCAGGTGGAACCTAATCAAGTTACTTAATCTTTTTGTGCTTCAGTTTCTCCACCTCCGAAATGGGGCTCACTTAATACCTACCTTATAAGGTGGTTCTAGAAGATTCAATGAGATATTTTTAGGACAATGCCAAGCACGTAGTAAGTGCTATAGGTATCAAACATTTCACTGTCATTAAGTCGATTCTGACTCATAGTGCCCCTAGTTGCAGGTATAGGAGAATTCAAATGTGACTAGTGGGTCTCCATTGTTTATAGTTGACTAAGGTCTTCAAATGATTTCGTTCATTTTTCATTGGTGACCATTTTTACTTAACGGATCAGAATCGAGCCTTGTTTTATTTTCTAATATTTACTTTTAATATGCCCCAATATTTTACAGTACTGAAGTGATTTTTTCCGTATCTTGTATTAGTGTGTGGACTTCTTATTTACCTTTGCCCAAATGTTAAATGTTAATACATTTCAGAAACACTGCTAATCGGATTGAAGAAAACCTTTCAGATGATTCTAAAACCACATGGAAGATGAGGGGGAATGTGGATTATGTGGTACTTCATGACTGGTTTAGTTCTTCAAAAGATTTACAGATTGGAACAACCCTACGGAGTCTGAAAGATGCGCTTTTCAAGGTTAGCAAGTTTGTTGCTAGGTTCATGATCATCATTAGCTTTTCCTTCTTACAAAGGAATGTTGACTAGCTGACCATCTTAGGACAAGACCCAGCATGCTTTGGTTGTAGTTCGTTTATTCAGATTCCAAAGATTCATTATGAATCACATAATAATAAAGCAGACTGATCTATCTTAAAAGTAAGCCCACTGCCATTACAACTTAAAGTGACCCTATATTGGGTTTCCAAGGCTTTGTAAAAAAAAAAAAGTTTAATGGTTTTATTGGGGGCTTTTACAGCTCATATAACAATCCATACATCCATTGTCAAGCACATTTGCACATATGTTGCCATCATCGTTTTCAAAACATTTTCTTTCTACTTGAGCCCATGGTATCAGCTCCTCATTTTTTTCCTTCCCTCCCCCACCCTCATGAGCCCGAGTTAAGGTTTTGTCCATCTTTATGTGAGGAGACAACCTCATCGTTCGTCCATGGAGCGGCCAGTGGATTTGAACCACTAACCTTGGGATTAGTTGTCCAGCACTTACCCCACAGTAACATCAGGGTGTGTGTGTGTGTGTGTGTGTGTGTGTGTGTGTGTGTGTGATAAAGCATATTAGAATTTTCAAAATTAATCTAAAACGTGTTTATATTTTTTAAGAATTAGACTTCAGAAGGCCAAGGAAGTTGTTCAAGTCATCAAGAAAATTAAGTTATTGAATACAAACATACTTTTTTTTTTATAAACATCCTTTTGTTGAATACAAAAACGATGATTTGATATGTATACCTTTACCTGATTCACAATAAATAAAAAGTTTGAGGGAAATAAAAGAAGTCACCAAGGTAAAAAGAGAGATGATTTCATAAATTAAAATTTAGGTATAAAGAAATACCTTAAGACAGAAGACAAGCAGAAAAATATTTACAACATGTAAGATAGTATTTTCTAGAACACCTAAAATCTGAAGACCTTTTACAAAAAAAATAAGAAAAACGATTTAAAGTGAAATAGTAAGATAGATAAGCCATGGTCATAGTACACAAACAGATAAGACGATGCAAAGGGGCATAAACATAAAAGCAGTCAGCTCTACTAAAAATCATCAAATGAAAATCAGTGCAATGGTACTTTCACTGATCACAGAGTATGAGAAATAATATCCAGCTTATTTTATTAGATAGTGGTAATTGTCTGCTGGTGAAAATGAAATTCTGCTGAAAGGAGTGTCAATTGACGCTACATCATATCTTCAAAACCTTAACACAGTGTGTGCTTTAAAATAGGGTTCTTGGCTTTGACCTACAAAGATGCCCATTTCAAAGAAGAAAAATGGTTTGGAACAACTGACTACCTATAAATAAAGTGGATGCCAGTCTTATTTTAGACCCCAATAACCCTCAAATTGAGTAAGGATGTAAATGTCTGGACTGAAACAATGGAATGCCAGAAAACATTGCTAGATGTTTTCGTTTTCTTGATCCCAAAGTGCCAGGAGAGAAGATCGATAAATTTGACCATGTGAAAAATACCACAAGGAAAGAAAATAGCAACCAGTGAAACTCTTTTAATATAGATGACAAAGCCTATTTTCCCAAATGTTCTGAGGATACTCACTCTTCACTGAGAAAGTTACAAGCAACTCAGTAGAAAAATGGAAAAATGATGAGGTGTGTTAAGTCCCAGAAGAATATAACCTGAGATGTAAACTTTCTTAACAAATACTAATGATAACAAATGATCATTTTTATCTGCTACTTTGTTAGAAAAATTTAGGATGAACATTTTCATACACGGTTGATACACAAATTGGCATAACTTTTTTTGAAAGACTGGGAGCATCTGCCAGACTGAATTGCACATGCTTTTTAAACCAGCAGTTCTGTTTGTTCTAGGAATTTGCCCTACACAAATATATATATATATATTACTAAATCTTTCAAAGTTTGGCAGCATGTATTAGAAAACCTGACATTTGTGTGCATTTGTTTAACGATTGTCATTGCGGGACTTTACCCTGAGGGTGACTGGGTGTGTGAGTGTGTGAAGGCTCTGGGTGTTTGTCTTGTCTATCTCACCACTCTTCATAATTTAAATGTGAAGAAATGGGGACTTACACAGGACTGATTAAAGTCTGTTGTGTGTGTATACAAAATTGAGTATTACGTAGTCATTACAAATGACTCAGATGTGTATGAATAAAAGATGTTCAAATAAAAAAATAGCATCATAAAGTTTGTTTTGTAAAAATGTGATTAAATAAAAATAAAACTTGTATCTATGTAGAAAATTGTCTTCAAAGATTAACCCCCAAATGCTAAAGTGAGATCTCTAGGTGATAAGGTTATGGGGAGGTTAATTTTCCAGGAAGACCATAGGTTGTAAGGCTTTAAAAACCTAATCCGTGTATCTAGTTTGTGTTTCTGTGTGTCTGCCTATTTTATTTTTTTGTGATTTGAATGAAAATGTACAAAGCAAATTTGTTTTCTGTTTGACAGTTCACAACTTTTAAAATTTTTTGATGACATTCATTTCAGTCCCCCCAATATAAGAGCCTCCCCCCCACTTCCTCCCCCTTTCCTGCCTTTTCCTGCCTTCTGAGCTTTATCCCTGGGCTAGTCTTGCCCTGATTGTCCGCCCTGTAGGTTTAGCTGATGTTTGGCCAAAAGTTGAACCATGGTAACTATTTATAATTTGAATTATACATTTGAGATACAAACTTGATATGATAGTCAACTTTTCATTTTATTTACATTGAACTGAGCTTAATTCTATGACTGAAAAGGGAGCCAGGGCCATCCTTAGTCTAGGTATTTTGATGCTAGACTTGGAAATTCTGGTTTGTCATGGGGTGGCCCTATTAAAGCGACTCTCCTTGTTTTATAGTGGGAGAGTAAGACTGTCCTGCGCAGCCAGCCGTTGGTGTTAGAGGGAGGCTATGAGAACTGGCTGCTCTGCTACCCTCAGTGCACCACAAATGCAAAAGTCACCCCGCCAGCGCGAGGCAGAAACGAGGAGGTGTTTGTCTCATGTATGTATGTGAACATGCAAGCTATTTCTGTCTTCAGAGAAACATGGGTGATAGGGTGTGCATTTGTCTTATTTAATAACGGTTTTCTTTGAGGCTTTGAAAATACAAGATGTCCATAGCCTAGAAATTAATGTTTTTTTTAAGATGGTATGGTTGTCACTTTCTTTTGTGTACATTTAACTGCCATAGACAGCATGCATGGGAAATGTAGCTCATGATTATGGAGCTTGCTATTCTGAAAACTTACTGTTACTCTTTTGGGGATTTTAGTGGATTTTACTTACCCCTCGCTGGAAGAACCTAAGCGTCCTGCCCAGACACCTCCTCCTCCTACACAAGTAACTGAAAATAAAGAACCGAAAACTGATCAAGATGAGAGAAAGGGACCCCTTGGTACACTGACTCCAGTAGAACCAGGCGCTACTTCCAGATCTGCTGTGTCATCTACAATTCAGCCCGCAACTCTTATAACGAGTGTTCCACAGGTATGTTCTTGATTTTCTTTCTCTTTTGTTAAATCTGTTATGGAAGTGAAATTTTGTACGTAACTTTTCCTATCTTAGAACAAAAAGTACAGTGAGAAGAATTTATATGTCTTTTGGGCCTCCACCCCCCCCTTTTTAAAAAAGTTTTATTGTCATTTAATCCACATATAACACAATTGAGTTGTTCAGTCATATCAAGAAGAGTGGTACAATCATTACCACAACCAATTTTTAAAATTTTTATTATTATTTTTCACAATCAATTTTAGAACACTTTCTTTTTTCCCCCTTGGTTAAATCACTTTTATAATGAGTTGTATAATCATCAGTTCTAGTACTCCCTCCCCCGCCCACATGCATTGTTTGCCTCCCCCGCCCCCTCACCCTCACTGTCTCCCATTCTCCACCCTTCCCTCCCCTGTCAACCCTTACATCAGTTCTTATCTCTATGCCTCTACTCCTCTGTGCTTCCCAAACTGAAAAACCCAACAGAAACAATCAAAAACAGAAGCAAAATAAAGTGGTAAGGATAGAATAATACTAATAATACAACGATAAAAATACAAATAGTGGGTAAGAAAGAAAAGACCACTGAATATTTAAAAGACCAGGGAAGAAATTTTTGTCGTGGTGCTAGAAAGAAACACTTGCACCAAGAAGAATTTCAGATTGCGTCAAGAGGGAGGTCAAGTGACAGTATCAAGTTCAGTCTAATCAGGACTACAGCAATCCCTATCTGATAGTAAAGCTGTTGGAGACCCTTGCCTGTGGCTAGATCTGCCAGAGGTGTCATCTGACTGGATACTTTGCAGATGGGGTTGGGGCCCCCACTGTCCTCCATAACCCTCTACAAATTGGGCCTTTACCATTTAGGCTCTGATACTTTTCCATTTGTCATATTTGACTTTTGTTATTGTTGTCTTTGGATCACACATGCTGGTGCGCTTCTTCTGTGTGGACTTAGTTGACCCCTCACTTAGATGGCCTTTTGTTTAAATACAAACCTTTAAGACTGGGGGGACCTTTTTTGTTACAATAATCTTTCATTGCAGTTAAGTCTTATTGACACAGCTTATGACAGGATGAATCATTCAAAGGCTTTCACACCAGTCCAGCACTCGCCCACTGCTGGTGGGACTGATGGAAGAGTGTACGGCCACAGGGGACTTGAGCAACCCTTTCAGGTTTCTGTGCTGCAATTTGACCATCACATTTTCCCAAATTTTGAAATTTATTTTCCTTGGTTCCACAATCCACACTCATGGAAGCAGCAGCCAAGAAATCAAATGGCACCATGGCATTGGAAAATGTACTGCAAAAACCTTAAAAGTACGAAAAGGCAAAGATGTCACTTGAGTACTAAGGTGACTGCACTTTCATTCCCTTTATACATGAGAAACTTGAACACCAAAGGTTATTGTTGTCTTTGATTTGTGGTGTTGGAGAAGAATACGGAATACGCACAAGGGGCTTACCAGCGAAACCAACAGACCTGTCTCGGGAGAACTCCAGCCATAGTGCTCTTTAACAACAAGATGACAAGACTTCATTTCACATGCTTTGGACATATTGTCAGGAGGAACCAATCTTTGGAGAAGGACATTATACTTGGAATGGTAGAGGGTCAACCAAGAAGAGAAAGACCCTCCACAAGATGGACCGACACCGTGGCAGCAAGAGTGGACCTGAGTGTGACAGCAATGATGAAGATGGGGCGTGGCTGGGCAGCTTGTTTCCTGGTACACAGAGTCCCTGTGAGTCAGAGCCAACACAGGGACCCTGACAACAGCCCATGCCCCTTACATGCAGTAGGTATGGGATACCGGTAGTTTGGTTGGGAAATAAAACTTTAGTTCTATTTTCTTAAGTAAGTAACCAAGATATTATCATTTGAAATGGTAAAGTTCTTTGTTTTCATTTGTGGAGTGTGTTTTAAGGATCTTCTATAGGAAACCCTTCTAAAGGAAGGGTTAGCAAGAGTAAGACGCAGATTCTGTCTGATGCTAGGAGGAGAGCGCTCTAGAAGATCATCTGTAGCATAAGACCCATCATCATCATCATCACTGTAGTAGTCATTAGAGTAAAGAGCAGGGGGAAATCCTAGCCAAGGGCATGGGCTGGGTCTTCATAGAGTCGACCATGTTTAAGCTGTTCCCTAGGGTCGGGGGTGGAGAGACCAGAAGAGGATTTGACTGAAGGCACAGGGTGCGCTAAAGGAACAGCCAGTGACTTGGCATGCTGACAAGTAGGTGACGGAGAGAGTAATGTGACAATAGATAAGATTAGGAAGATGGACAGGAGTCCTAACGAGAGACTTGTATCAAATTAATTTTTCATCTATACAAATAGGAAAACCATTGAAGATTTTTAAATTAAAAAGGGATTGAATCAGTTGTGTTTCTGAGGCTTTAGAATAATGGATTGAGCCACCAAAGTGTGGGTGGGCTAGCATTTCTGTTGCTTCCTGGTCCACCTTTTAATGTTCACTTCATTGCCTCGGTGCCTCTTCACTTGCGAACAAAACGTAGAAAAGAATAGAAAATAGATGTATTTATTATGAAGAGGCAAAAAGAAGTGAAGGAGGAAGGATAATTTTTCCCACTGACTCTTCTGCTTTCGTTTTCTTTAAATTTATTTTTAATTAGCAGTGAATACATATATCATTCCATGGCTCAGTCACATCAAGCAGTATTGTACAATTGCTACCACAATCAATTTCCAATCTGCTTTATTGTTTATATAAAATGTTTTGGAAAGATTGCATGTAGCTTGTTACTGATAGATGTATTCACAATGCTGAGTGGTCTTGTTCCAACAAAGCGCCTCCTCAGGAAGTGATGTGGTCACCTCTGACAGTGTACAGCGAGTGCACCATGAAACCGAGGTTATCAGCACTTGTGTCCCAAAAACCAGTTTAGTTTATGGGTTATTTATCTTGAAAGGTAGTAGTATCTCTTCTGGAAGTGATTGTAGACTATTTTACTCATTCCGACAATAAGGTAGTTGTTGACCTTATGTCAGACAGAGTCTCTGCCTTCCTGGAGGAAAAAGAAAATTTTACACATATCATTATTTACACAGAATTCAAGTGAGGTCAACAAGGGGAAGTGACAGGAATTTCGAGAGCATGTGTCAGGGGACTGGGCTCGTTCCAGTCCAAGATTTCAGGGAATTATTCTGAGGGAGAAATGCTGCAGCCAAGACCTGTTGCTCTGGTGGGCACTGTTTGGGTATAGAGATCTAGGTTGAGAAGGAGGATGGCATCTTTGAGGAATCCTTTGAAAGGTAAGTATGAGTGGTGTATAGAACAGTGATGAGGTCGGCAAGAGCGAGGCTTCACAAGGCCTCATAGGCCATGTGCAAAAGTAATTCTTTTTAATAAAGTTAATACAGAACTAGCCCCAACGGAGTAGAGATTAAACATGCCCCAAATGTGATAACTTTCCCCAAATGCAGTGGCACTCCATTATCCCTGCTATCAGCCACGATACCTCCCTGTAGTATAAGCCCTCTTGTCCAGGGTGTGGCAGTTTGCTGCAAGGTCTCATGGAGCTCACAGGTGTTAGGAACTGGTTCATGTGGTTGTAGGTGCTGGTCAGGTCCACATCCAAAGTGTAGTTATCTGTCTGGAGCAGGGGTGGAGAACGTCCAAAATCACCTACCACACGCCTCACCAAAGAGAAGCAATTCCAGCCATCACATTAGGGGTGAGTTAATTAAGTGTTGGGCCAAATATAGCAGGCTAATTTTGAAGTTGATCATTTTGCTTGGTCTGCACATGCTGTTACAAATATCCAAGTGACCCTTTACGGAAAAAAAGCTCCCCACTGCTGGTCTAGAGGGTCGTCCTCATCTATAAGGCTAGGCGATAATCCTCAACTCAAGTCCCAAGAGCCAGAGGTCATGCAGAGGCAAGAAGCAGCGTTTGCTTGCTTCTCTGGCTGCTCAGCTGGAAAAGGATATCACAGAGATGGCTTCGGTGGAGGTGTGCTTTTTGCCTTACCCCAAGGAAACGGGTGGTGGCTTGTGTTAGACCCTTTAGCAAGGTGGACACTCAAAGTAGATCCCACCATGATCCCATCATTAGCATACGTATAACGGGCTGTAAAATGAGATTGTAACCACTGGTATAGAAGTTGACAATACATCACACAAGGGAGGCTTGTGACTAGAAGGGCCGTGTTAAGTAATGATTTCAGATGTAATCTTAGTACGGTAGATAACGATTTAAAGTTGGATTTTAAGCAGGGGAGGGCCTTAATCAGACTTGTGTTGTACATGATTGACGACGCTGTGGAGGAGTCATGGTGGTGTAGTGGTTAAGGGCTGGACTTCCAAAGCACCAGCAGCTCCACAGGAGGAGGACTGTGCTTTCTACTTCCGGAAACAGTCTTGGGAATCCACAGGGGGTCGCCATGAGTCAGCATTGACTCACTGGCATCCAGGAGAGTTGAACTACAATGTGGAGAAATAGATTGATGATCTAGGCAACCAGGTGGTAACTGAGAGGATGTTGGCATGGACTTGGCTGGCGGTGGTTGGTCTAAACACAGATCCCAGGAAAGTCATCAGTGTAAGAAGCTGGATGAGCATATCATAGAGGACTTTCAGGTAACCAGTCCAGTGCCTGTGAGAGAAGGACCAATGGAAGGTGACCCTACTTGTGGAGGGAACTCATGAGTAGTTCTCACATGAAGATGTTGAGTAGGCAGTGGATATATGAAAACAGAACCTCAGTCTAGGGATACCCAGGTCTAGCTTTTAGGTTTTAGAATGGCATATTAACTCTTTTATCTACAGAATATATCAGGGTGAATTAAAAGTGTAGAGCTAAGAAGAAGTATGGGTGGCATTTAGATACCTTCCACGCAGGATCGACCCTAAGAGAAACCTTGACATAGAGTGATTGACAAATAGGCATTCTGGCAGATGTTGTCTCCCCCAAAATGATGGTTCTTTTATCACAGTTTCAAGAACTGAAGTTACATTCCTGAATTTTGACAGAATCTTATTTTGCTCTGTTTTTGTTACTGTAGATTGATCGTACTAAAAAACCACTAGTAAAACCACCAGATGATCTTAATATAAAATCTGAACGTGCAGACCAGGAGCAGCAGTCTCCTCAGGACGGGAAAGGCGTTCCCGATCGTTCCACTAAGCCCGCATTCACTCCAGCAACTGCTCTGCTGACAGACGAAGAGAAGGCTCGCGTTCACGCAGAAACGGCTCTTCTGATGGAGAAAAACAAGCAGGAGAAGGAGCTCCGAGAACGGCAACGGGAAGAACAAAAAGAGAAACTGAGGAGTGAAGAGCAAGAACAAAAAGCAAGAATGCAACAAGCCGAAGAAAAGGAAGTGTTAGAAAAGGAACAGAAGCGAAAAGAAGAGACAGAAAAGCGAGAAAGGGAGCAGGCCAAGAAAGAAGAGCGAGAACCCTCAGGAACGGGCAGCAAAGAAATAACCGGCGGGAAGAGACAAAGTAAAAGTGAGCATGAGACGGCCGATGCCAGGAAGCCCATGGAAGACAGAGGGAAGGGGTGTCCAACCCCAGACGCACAGAGAAGGTCAACAGGAGGCGTGCCCCAGGCGCCTGCGGCCGAAGACTCCAGTCCGGGCAAGGTAAGTCCAAGCACATAGCGTTTGGCCAACGAAGTGAAATGAAATGTACGTAAAAAGCTAGCTCTGGTGCTGTTCCATAGCCAGAACAGACATTTAGAATGGTCGTCTGGAGCGTGACCGGTTTGTCCTGACGCCCCTTTGAGGCCAGTGGCGTACCTTTATAAAATGGTGGGACCGCAGTTGCTTTCTGTGTCTATGGCTAGCAACATACTCTAATAATGGAGATAAACTGCTACGTCCCCATTTTGATGTGTGTTCGTCTGGGTACTTCAGAGAAACAAATCCACAGAAACTCGTGTACAAGAGAGAGTTTTATATAAAGGGTAAGTGCGCATCAAGAAAACATCCCAACCCAGTGCTGCCCAAGCCCACAAGTCCAACATTAACCCATATGTCCAACACCAATCCACAAAGTCCTCCTCCATCTCACAAAACACACACAATGATGCAGACTGCAGGAGGAAAGCTGAGTCAGTGAACGCATAAACATTTCAGCGCTGGCAGGGGTCTCCACACAGCTGCTCCAGCACCCAGGGCTGCATCGAGGTAGGTCCATGTGGCTTCTCCTCAGGGATGTCTTGTAGGAAGTGAGCCTTGCCAGTCGAAGCAGGGAGCTGCTAAGGTAGCTGCACCCTGGTCCGACCTGCAAGAGACCCGAGAAATAGAAAGGCGAGGCTCACCACGCCATTTATCCCTCTACCCTTCAGTTAACCCCACATGTGTTTTATCAGCCAGGTTGGCACAATAATCTTTAACTATGTCAATGTGTCATACACTCATCAGATTAGAAGACCCAAAGTGAAACACAGTTTCTCTCACACTATGGAAGGATTAAATGCCAGATAATTTTACAATAGAATTTGTGTTCATTTAGAATATGTCTCAAATCCATGACAGCTAAACAAGCCAATGTTTTCTTTAAATATAATGATTTGGGGGGGGGCGGGTATTTCTATATCATTTGTCTCTTTATAATTCCTGTAATGTTGTTAATAAACCATTCTCATTCAGTTATAAACTAAGAAATTTGGTATTACTACTTTCCAGTCATTTCTGACTCATAGCAACCCTATACAATAACTATCCCTGTGATATACAAATGTGCTTGATACATTCAATGTATGGATTGTTAGAAGAGCTCTAACAGCCCCCAATTGAATTATTTATAAAAAAAAGAAGAAAAAGAAATGTCCCTGTGGATTTCTGAGATTGTAAATCTTTCTGAGAGTAGAAAGCCTCATCTTTCTCCCACAGAGCTCCTGGTGGTTTCAAACTGCTGACCTCCTGTTTAGTAACTTAATCCACTGTGCTACCAGGGCTTCAGATTTTGGTTAAAAATCAAAATTGATCCCATAGTTTTGGGGGGTTATCTTTGTGTTCTAACGTATTATTATTTTCAGTTTTTTTGTTTAATTTTGTAGCTTACAATATATTTTTCTTTTGAGCTCAAAATAAGTTTTTCTAATAGCAGGAGCCATTATAGCCCTTTTTACAGATGTGTAAATGGAAATGCAGCTGTTGGTAGTATAAAGGTGACTTCTGATGGGAGCTTAAATGCCAGCCCTGCAACATGCCCCTGTCTGTATTTCTCATGCAGCATTTAGCCTTATTACAAATACCAGAAATTCACTGATGTTACTTTGATCCAAGGGACACTTACCTGGTGATTTTAACGATCAAAATGGTAGTTCCCATGCAAAAAATTGAAGTACTCAAAATTGGGGGCACGAAACCCATGCACTAAAATCTCTCGGCGTCCTTCAATGGAGATGGAGAGCTGTGAACACTTGTTTTAAGAGACAGCTTAACTGGAGAGGGAGAGAGGAACCAAACTTCATCCTGGTGCGCCAAGACGGGACATGCCGGCATGAAGCAGGGAGCCAATAGAGAGGTCTGCGGGGCCGGCCCGAATCCCAACTACATGGACACCCCCTTTCCCCCCCCCAGAAGAATGCACTACAGAAGACAGCACTGAAGCTATACCTCGGGGAGAGGGGCACGTTTGATCAGAGGACAGGAGCAAACGAAAAGGGAAGGAGAGAAAGTGGAACACATCCTGTCCCACCAAGCCCCGGAGATGATATTCCTGCTCAGAGCAGCCAGTGCACAGAGAGGACCATAGGGCCGGCCCCACCATGGGACAAGATGGCCCTCATTGACCCATATCACTATGAGGGACAACACTGGAAGCACAGTGTGGGAATTGTGCCGATCTGACCACAACCACACAGGGGCGAAACTAAGGGCGTGCAACAGAACAGCAAGGGGAGCAAAGCAGTGAAGTCCCTGGAGAATACCAAAAATAGACTTTGGGGCCATGACGTGGCTCCCCATCAGACTCAACAGGAAAACACTCCTAAAGGTGAACAAATAGACCTGGAACTATTTATAGGCTTTTCTTTTGTTGTTGTTGTTTTATTTTGTTGTTTTGCTCTGCCTTGTTTTTGTGCTTATTACTTTCTCTGCATGTCTATCTAGATAAGATAGGTGGGATAAACAATCTGGAGGGGGAAAGGTAGGGGAAAGGAAGTGGGTGTTAACAAACCGAAGGACAAGGGAACAACAAGTGATGTAAAATCGATGCCAAGGAGGGCGTAGGATGGCTGGTAGGGCTTGATCAAGGGCAGTGTAGCTGAGTGGAATTACTGAAACCCGAATGAAGGCCAAACATGATAGTGGGACAAGAGGTAAATAAAAGGAAATAGAGGAAAGAACTAGGAGGCAAAGGACAGGCATGTATATATGTTAATATATTTATATATAATTATAGGGAAATCTATGTACATCCATTTATATGTTAAGTATCAAGGTTGCAAAACATCATTGGGCCTCTACTCAAGTACTCCCCCCAATACAAGAACAGTTTGTTCTAATGACCTGGCATTCTGTGATGCTCAGCTTCCTGACACGATCGCTGAAGACAAAATGGGTTCATAGCAAATGTGAAGTAACCTGATGGTGCCCGGTCATCAAAAGATATAGCGTCTGGGGTCTTAAAAACTTGAAGATAAACAAGCAGCCATCTAGCTCAGAAGCACCAAAGCCCACATGGAAGAAGCACACCAGCCTGTGTGGTCACAAGTTTTTTGTAGGATCACGTATTAGATATCAAAGAACAAAAAAAATCATATCACTGTTTATGAGTAGATACCCAAAGCCCATCTAGGCAACTGGACATCCCCTTACAGAAGGGTCATGGGGAGAAAACGAACCAGTCAGGGTGCAGTGTAGCAAAGATGAAACGTACAAATTTTCTCTAGTTCTTTAATGCTTCCTCTCTCACCGCCCCCACTATCATGATCGCATTTCTACCCTACACATCCGGCTAGACCAGAGGATGTACACTGGTACAAATTGGAATTGGAAACACAGGGAATCCAGGACAGATGAACCCCTCAGGACCAATAATGAGAGTAGTGATACCAGGAGGGGCGGGGAAGGTGGGGGAGAAAGGAGGAACTCATCACAACGATCTACATATAACTCCCTCCCTGGGGGATGGACAACAGAAAAGTGAGTAAAGGGAGACATCGGACAGTATAAGACATGGAAAAATAATAATTTATAAATTATCAGGGGGGAGGGGAGGAGGGGGAAATTGAGCTGATTCCAAGGGCTCAAGTAAAAAGAAACTGTTTTGAGAATGATAATGGCAACAAATGTACAAATGTGCTTCATACAATTGATGGGTGCATTGATTGTGATAAGTTATACGAGTCCTCAATAAAATGTTTTTTAAAGAAACAAAAAAAAGCTAATGGTGCCTCGCTATCAAAAGACAAAGCTTCCAAGATAAACAAGCGGCCATCTAGCTGAGAAGCAAGAAAGTCAACATGGAAGAAGCACACCAGCCTGTGTGATCATGAGGTATTGATGGGACAGAAGGGTTACAAGGAAGAGACGAGCCAGTCAGGTTGCAGTATAGCACCAATGAAACATAAACTTTTCCTCTAGTTCTTTAATGCCTCTCCCTCCCCTCCCCCCCATCATGATTCCAATTCTACCTTACAAATCTGGCTAGACCACATGTACACGGGTACAGATTAGAACTGGAAGCACAGAGAATCCAGGACAGATAAACCCTTCAGGACCAATAATGAGAGTAGTGATACCAGGAAGGGAAGGGGAAGGTGGGAGGAGAAAGGAGGAACCAAGCGCAAGGATCTACATATCCCTCTCCCTGGGGGATGGACAACAGAAAAGTGGGTGAAAGACCGGTCAGTGTAAGACGTAGAAAAATAATAACATAAATTATGAAAGGGTTTGGGAGGGAGGGAAAAAAATGAGCTGATACCAAGGGCTCAAGTAGAAAATGTTTTGAGAATGGTGATGGCTACAAACGTGCTTGACACAGTGGATGGATGTGTGGATTGTGAGCAGTGCTGCATGAGCCTCCAATAAAATGAGAGAAAAAGACAAACTATTCGTTGAATATATTCTACTTATACACCAAACACTTGCCTTAAATTTTCATATTTATTCTTAATGACAGCCCCACAATGTACAATGAAACTGAAGCTTCAAGGTTAAGTAATTTGCCTAAGATTGCACTGGTAGATTCCAAGCCACTTCCTGCCCAGCATGCTTTGCTGAGGCTGCCCTGAGAGCCAAGAGCGTTCACATTCCTGGGCTTCTGTGGTGTAGGTGTCAAATAACCCTGTAGATCTAAAGAGCCCCGAGATTATCACTATAATTAATGATGTGTGCTATAAAAGAGTGAAAAATCATTAAGATTGCATTCGTTGCATGCTTCATTTTTCCATTATTATTTTAAGCCCCCTAAGAAATCATATCTTCAATATGTTCCAGAAAACATAAAATGGGTTTGCACTTTTGAATATTGCTCTATAAAATCTTATAATCTCTTCATTTTCTTTAATACTTGAATTTTTTTTAGCATGACCCCTTTCAAGGTCATCAAAATCATATGGGATGTCATTAAAAAGCTAGTGTTCAAATGAGGCCCCAGTAAGGGACACTCCCCAGGCACATGGCCATGTACTGGGAGTCAGGGAGTCTCCTTTGGTTTTCATCCTTTTTAACTCCCTCTGATTTGTCCATTTCTCCATTCTTTAGAATGTTAGGAAATTTCATGTGGGTTTTTTTTTGGTTTTTAACATTTATTGGGAGCTCGTATAATTCTTTTCACAATCCATACATCAGTTGAGTCAGGCATGTTTTGTACATACATTGTCTTCATTCTTTTCTAGACATTTACTTTCTATTGAGCCCTTGTTATCAGCACTCTTTTCCCCTTCTCGCTTCACCTCCACCCTCGTAATCTCCTGATGGATCGTACATTGTTACTGTTTTTCAGGTGGGTTTACACCTTTAATTGAGAGTACATGTTAATTTGATGGTTACATGGAATGAAACATTCAGAGATCTTATTTTCTCGTGTGTTCTTAGTCTAATGGAGAGGGGTTTTTTCGTTGTTAGCTAGTGATATATTTTTATTAGGAAAAATTATAATCTTCTTTTACTTCTGAAGTTTTAACAATTTTCCAGTTGGTTAAAATTAAAGGACAGCAAGAAGGTGGAACTCTAAAGCCAGGAACTTTTAGCGAGAATACAGAGGATTCTGAAAGAAATAAAGTACGTAGTCCATGGTAGTTGGAGGAAGACATGGATCGGTAACTTGTACGGTTATCTTAAGCATATTGCCATTCTCCGTCTTGAGCGAGGTCTCTGAAGGAGATGGCTGCCATCTTTGGTAGCCATTTTTATTTGTTTTGTGTGGTCAATCCATTGGCCTGCTAGGGGAATAGAAGTTTGTCTTCCTACTTAAAGCTCAACAATGTATTCTGTTCCTTTTAGAAAGTAGAAAATTCCACAGGGCTTTTTAAAGACATCTTTGTCTTTAGTCTTAAGTTCGTTGAGGCATCATTTATGAACCGTAACATTCACCCATTTTTACGGCCCCGTCTATTGATGTTTAATCACCTACAGATTGTGAAACTCTGATCACAGCCAACTTTAAAACCTTCTTCACACAAGGAAGATGCGTAGTCATCAGTGGAATTATACAATTTTATTTTGCATAGTGATTTTGAAACTAAAGATTACTACATCGCATTCCATGATATGGTTAATAGCACATTTATCCATTTATCAGTTGATGAATATGTGGATTGCACCTACTTTGGGTCTATTATGAATAATGCTGCTATGAATATTCCTTAAAACTGCCAAGTGTTTTGCAAAGTACCTACCCACAAGATGTTCCCACTGGCAGCGTAGGAGACTTCCTGTTGCTGAGCATTTTCATTGATAGTTCTTTTATGTTTGTTTTATTTTTTATTACTTTTAAAATTTCACCCATTCTGGGTATTAAGTGAGATCTCATTATGGTGTTTTTGTTGTTGTTGAGAATAGATATACAGTGAACCCTCGTTTATCGCGGTTAATCGGTTCTAGACCCTACCGTGATAAATGAAATTCCGCGAAGTAGGATTCCTTATTTGTAAATCAAACATTTTCGTAGTTAGAGCATAGAGGACATGAAAAAACACCCTTTAGTCACCATTACACTCGTATTACCCAATTTATTAAACGAAAAAGGGAAAATACAGTAAAACATTTTGGACGTTACAATTATCATTTATTATTTATTATATTATTTATGGCATCAAGCGTGTACAGTATGAGCCAATCAGTGGCAGTAATGACAGAGCATGCGCTGTTACGCAAAAACCGCGGTAAGAGTGAAGCCGCGGAAGTCGAAGCGCGAAGTGGCGAGGGTTCACTGTAGATGAATATACACCAATTCAGTAGCTTCTACATGTACATTGAATTAGGCGCCCACTCACCCTCTTTTTCTGAATTGTCCCTCCTCCACTGAAATAAACTCAGTATCCTTTTAATTTTTCAAGTTCTTCTTACTCATTTGACCTCACATAGATAGTTCTTAAAAGAGCATATTGCTTGACAAAGAAATTTTTACTAGTTAAGCTATTTGATTTGACTACTTCAGAGAATATTGTTTGCTTAAGGTTTAAAGATTATATCAGGGCAATAATTCCAAGGGTTTACCCACTCTCGTGGGTTTAGAAAGTCTGGAGTTGATGCACCTTTGGAACTCTGTTCTGCGTTTTCTCTTTTCGATCGGGATTCTCTATGGAACCTTTGATTGAAATGTGCCGCAGTGGCAGCTGGACACCATCCAGTTCTTTTGGTCGCATGGCAAAGGAAGCAGTTGTTCCTGGTCATCGTACTTGAATTTGCATTTCTTTAATGACTGCTAATATTTCTATGTGCTTAGAAACCATATTTTGCTTGTTTTTTAACTGGGCTGTTGTGTTGATGTTCTATAAATTTCCAGATTCTGCTCATTTTTCAGAAATACTATTAGAAAATACTTTGTCCCAGACTATGGCTCATTTTAAAAGTTTGCTAATGGTGCCTTTTGAAGAACAGGTTTCATGCCACCCATTGTCAGTTTTTCCTTCCGTGGCTAATGCGTTTGGTAGTGTAAGGAACTCTGCCTAAGCAAAAATCCTGAAGACACACACCTGTGTTTTCTTCTAGGCGTTTCATTCGAGCTCTTAGAACAAGGTGTGTGGTCCACTTTTAAGTCATCTTATGTGTAGTTGAGGTTAGGGTCTAACATCCTTTTTTGCATAAGAATACCCTGTTTATATTTCTTGTGACAGAATTATTGTAACAGCTTATTTAGGACATATCTGTATTTAACAGAATATGTATCGTTTAGACCTGAGGACTATAAAGATAATCATTATGTGGGTTTTTTGCCTTCTATTATTTATATCAGTTTTTAATCGGAGGTGAGAGTAATTAATTATATTGATGTTGGTGCCTCACTATTATTGCCTGTACTTATTTACAGCACTGTGTGGTAAGAATAAATATAGGAGATTTTTTTAAGAAGGCAAATCAAAAGCAGAATATAAAAAAATCTATTTAGGGCAGTCAAGACCAAGTTAATGACTTATTGATACAAGTAGCTTAAATACGATATGGCCACAGTAATTAAAAATCAGAAAGCCTTTTTTTTTTTTTTTTTTAAACTAGGCTCAGCGAGAACCTTTGACAAGAGCTCGAAGTGAAGAAATGGGGCGGATTGTGCCAGGCTTGCCTTCAGGCTGGGCCAAGGTATGTGAGCATTTGGCCTTAGAAGCAAAAATAAATGCTTTGGGGTTATAGAAATGATAATCGCCATTTTATTCAAATTATTTTAATCCAAAAATTTAGCAGTGGAATAATATCGAGTGATTTCTTTGTTTGCATAATGGTTATTTTTGTTTGTTTTTCTTTTTCATCTAAGTTTCTTGACTCAGTCACCGGAACCTTTCGTTACTATCATTCACCCACGAACACTGTTCATATGTACCCACCGGAAATGGCTCCCTCCTCGTCACCCGCTTCCACGCCTCCAACTCACAAAGCCAAGCCGCAGGCCCCTGCCGAGCGGGAGCAGGAGCCTTCCAAGCTGAAGCGCTCCTACTCCTCCCCGGATATAACCCAGGCACTCCAAGAGGAAGAGAGGAGGAAACTAACAGTAACGCCCACAGTTAATCGGGAAAACAAGTAAGTTCATCTCACTCCAAGAGCTAACTTACTCTGTTAGATTTTAAAACTCCTCTATATCAGCTTACTATCAGGGAGTTAAAAAGTTCAGCCATTGATGAATAAAGAAATGAAGAAAATGTCTTTGGGGTTTTTTCCCAAGTGCTAACTTAAATATCTTATTTCCTAAAACAGCCCGGTTCTAGACTTTGATAATAGGACCGGAATAGCCCTTGTCTCCTGTGATATCTGTACCACAGTGATACATTTTGATTCCTTGTTTTACAGTCTTGTTGAATTCAAATTTTTAGTAGTGCTAAACCTGCTAGGATTTGTTAAATGATTTTGAAAGAGCCTTCCCTATTCAGAAGTCTAAAAATGCCCCTCAGGGTATCTCCAAGACCCGTGGACCCACGTTAGAGGGTGGAGGGGTTTGCCCTCCAGGAAGGCCCAAGGAGAAAACCAGTGTGATCCAGACACGGCCTGCGTTGTAAGGCCCAGTTACCTTTATTGCCTTGCCTCAGTAGTTACAACTGTTGAGAGGAGTATTGGGGTTCAGGTGCTAGAGTTTGATGTTTTTGGTACCGTGAACCCTAATTTCAGATGCTTCACATTTTAAGACATCTTGTACCTTTTTCCCTCCCTCAGGCCAGTATGCTACCCTAAAGCCGAAATCTCCAGGCTCTCTGCTTCTCAGATCCGCAATCTCAATCCTGTTTTTGGAGGGTCTGGACCAGCTCTCACTGGGCTTCGTAATTTGGGGAATACATGTTACATGAACTCAGTATTGCAGTGCCTGTGTAATGCTCCACATTTGGCCGATTACTTCAATCGAAACCTGTATCAGGATGATATCAACAGGTAAAGAAATGCCACATAATGGTGATAGGATGGTGTCAACCACACTCACCGATCACCCAGCTCCAGAGAAGTCAAATTAGCAGATGAGACAATAGCTTTGCTGTTACAAAAGATGTCAAGAAAAACCTTTGCTGACAGATGAGGAAAGGAACCGTGCAAGAAGGCCAAGCCCCTAGGGTGACGAAGAGGAAGGAACAGTGCCAGGCTGTGGGCCAGGGTGGAGGGGTGCAATATCAAAGTAAGATTCCGCTTAGCTTTTGTAATAGAGCTGAGTAAGTATTTTAATATAGGGTGACTGCATGTGAACAATTGAGTATCAAGGACTCAATTGTCTTTCTTGTTTTTGTGATTTAAATTTTCTTTGCAAAGGTCGAATTTGCTGGGCCATAAAGGCGAAGTGGCCGAAGAGTTTGGTATCATTATGAAAGCCCTGTGGACGGGACAGTATAGGTATGTCAGTCCGAAGGACTTTAAGATCACCATCGGGAAGATCAACGACCAGTTTGCGGGATTCAGCCAGCAAGACTCACAAGAACTCCTGCTGTTCCTAATGGACGGTCTCCATGAAGATCTAAATAAAGTAAGACATGTGGCTCATCAGCCTCCTTGTCGTCTTCTCTCAGCATCATAAAGTTAGAGTTAATGACGGCTCGATACCAGTCTCTTCAAATCTAGTGGCTGCTGAGATACAGAACTGGAAAACCATTACATCTCATAGGTATAGGTGTGTGTATATCTCTGCATCTACCACAGATTACCCCTGTCTAGTTGTAACCATAATTTCCCGCTATACACAGATACGCATGTAGGTTTCACGTTTGACTTTTGCAGCTTTTGAAATAAAAATATGTTAAGAAATGTCAAGTCACACTCTTTCAAGAAAAGTGAGTTGTTTCATCCATTTTAAAAGCGATTAGACCATGGAAGTGTATGATTTGTGAATATGATAAGCAGAAACCATACTTGACCACACAGGTGAAGGGCTGTGCGTTTATGTCACCGGTGGTGGAATAACTTGGACGAGGCTCTCAGCAGGGGCTGTACAGCATGAAGAGCGCCGTCACGCTGATTATGCAAGAGGAAGGTGTGGAATTGGAAAATGATCTCTTGTATATATTTTACCACAATTAGAAAAACAACAGTAATTACATGAGTATCAGTGACTACGAGGAAGAAGAAAAATGTTCTAGAATTGAATATGACGACAATTCTACAACTCTTCTTGATACGATTGAATTATTGCGTGGCATGGATTAAGTGCTAATGAAACGGAGGTTTTTTTGTTTGGTTTTAAGTGAGTTGTTTCTTGGGAGAGTGGCTTTGTGTGGGTTTAGGGGTCAGATTGTTTTCTTCATGGCACCTGGTGAGGTCAGAACTCCCGTGGTGAGAGCTGAGTGTTCCTGGATCTGCGGCGTGTTTGTACGCCGTGTTCTTCTTCCACTTGGTGTTTAACACTGCCTCTGAGCCGTAATTAGGGCTTCCCTGCACTTGCTTCCAGGCCGACAACCGGAAGAGACACCGAGAAGAGAACAACGATCACCTGGATGACCTCCGAGCCGCCGAGCACGCCTGGCAGAAGCACAAGCAGCTCAATGAGTCCATTATCGTCGCCCTTTTCCAGGGTCAGTTCAAGTCCACAGTGCAGTGCCTCACCTGTCATAAAAAGTCCCGGACATTCGAGGCGTTTATGTATTTGTCTCTGCCACTAGCGTCCACAAGCAAGTGTTCCCTGCAGGTGAGTGGAGATTGAGAGACAGGGCTGTGTGGGATAAAATACTGCCATGTATACCAGGTCTTTACCTCTGAATGCCATAGGTAAAAGCCATACATAAATTCTGTGGTAATAAGTCAATATAAATGAGAAAGAATGAGAAATTTTCTTTCTTCCCTTTTTTCTTAGTTTTTAAAAATTTTTATTTATCATTCATTTATTGGGAGCTCATATGGATATCATACAATCCATAATTCAATTACCATATACACTTGAGTATAAGCTGACCTGAATATCTGCCGAGGCACCTAATTTTACCAATACTGCACTAAAAAATGTGCTGAAAAACTAGGCTTCTCCATGAGTATATACGGTAGATCAAGCATAATTGTACAATTGTTGCCGCCATCGGTTTCAAAACAACTTCTTTCTTCTTAAACTCTTTGATATCAGCTCCCCTCTATCCCCTCCCTCTCCCTCAGTACCCTCCAAGAACCCTATTACATATATATATACACACACACACACACATGCACATAAACATCATATCTTACACCATCCAGTGTATCTGTTCATCTACAATTTTGTTATTTGTTTCCCTCGAGTGGAGTTTCTTCTACTTTTTCAAGATTCTTTAAAAAATGTTTTGATCATTTTATTGGGGGGCTCTTACAAATCTTTTAACAATCCATCATTCAGTTGTATTAAACACACTTGTACATATGTTGCCATCAACATTTCTAAAACAGTTTCTTTATACTTGAGCCCTTGGTATCAGCTCCTCTTTTTTCTCTCCCTCCCTGACCATCCCCATCCTTATGAATCCTTGGTCCTGTTACTTCTTGTCTTACATGGTCTGTTGTCTCCCTTCACCCACATTTCTGTTATTCGTCCCCCGTGTGTATGGGGGTGGCATTACCTTATTAAACATATTTTTTAATGAAGTATTCTCTCAGGGGTTTTAAAGGTTCATTTGGCAAGTTATATGAAGTCTGTAATTTAGGAACACTTCCTGTAAGAGTCGGTTTTGCTTGGGGCTTCAGATGATACCCTATTTCCCACCTAGCAGTGTTGTGACTTCTGTAGCTTGTTGACTTGCTCCCGCCTCCTCCGGCATGCCCTTTTCTCCAGCAAGTCTTAGCATTTTAAGAGTCTTTTCCCTCGGGTGCTTCCCCCACCGGAGCACTTCCCTCGGTCCCGGAGTTGTTGTCACTCCTCCCTGGACCACAGCTGGAGAGGGCAGGCCCGGTGGTGGTCTCCTTTACCGTTTCCCGGTTGCCCGACGCAGTGGCTTAAGGCATGGTTGCTCCCTGCTTTGGGGTTGAAGAAAGGAAGTATATTCATTCACATCTGCCACTTGTTTTTTCCCCACCAGGATTGCCTTAGATTATTTTCCAAAGAAGAAAAACTCACAGATAACAACAGATTTTACTGCAGCCATTGCCGAGCTCGACGGGACTCTCTGAAAAAGATAGAGATATGGAAGCTGCCGCCTGTGCTGTTGGTGCATCTGAAACGGTAACGCCGCCAGCCTTCTGCTTGTCAGTCACTGCGCGTTTACACTGGCTGCCACAGCCCGCTGAGGACCTAGAACAGAGGAACGTCCCCTGCTTCTTCGAGTAGCTCTGGGCGACCCGGGAGCAGCATTGAGAACACCCTTGCTTTAGACTGCTCTTGGCAGCACCACGATTTCTTGTCTCCTCCGAGTTGCCATGCAGAAAGACCTGGCGGTCTGCCTCTGGAAAATCGGCCGTAGGGTTTGATTTGTGTAAAGCAGCCGGCTCGTGTAGCTGGAAACCAAGGCTACACCTGGAGTGCACAGGTGCACAAGTCCACTCTGAAGTGCGAGGGCCGGCTTGTCTACAGTGTCGCTCATGGGGAGAGTTGTCAGACTTGTCACGGAATCTTTTCATGTTTTCATCCTCATGTCTTCCAGCTCTCTCGAGGGCTAGCTTTTTTAAAGGAAGTTCTGTCTTGTACTGAGAACTCTAATTTTTGTTTCAAAGAAAGTATTTGTGTTTTATTGTTTCATCGTGTATTGCAGGAGACTCCTGGGCGGTTAGAGTAATTCCAGTATTAACATGTTCACATCTTGTGTGAATTTTTTACATTAAATTCTCTCTCTTATTTCTTCCTCTTCTTGAGGATGATAGGGATGTATGCAGATATTCTGTGAATGGCTACATAGTCTCTCAAAAGCTTAATGCTGCATATTACTCTTTTTTAAATCATTTTATTGGGGGCTCACGCAAGCCCTATCACAATCCATACATACATCAGTTGGGTCAAGCACATTTGTACGTTCGTTGCCCTTATCATTCTCAAAACATTTGCTCTCCACCTAAGCCCTTGGTATCAGCTCATTTTTGGCATATTACTCTTGAGAACAGTCTAAAAATAGAAGTGTTTACAATTCCAATTTTTCAAAACTAGTTCTACGTGATTTTTAATAGCTATATTGTACCAATAAAAATGCAAGTATTTTGTTGTTTAAAAGGAGTGGAATCTGCCAGAATAATGGGTGACCATTATTTCTGCCCCTCTTTTACCTGCTTGAAATTTCTGGCTCATATTCCCTCAAAAATACAATCTTAAGTTTAGAGCAGCTCTCATTCATTCTTCCGCTTCCTTCCGATTAGCACGATGAACGCGGGGCTTCGAAGAAAGCTCCACAAATAGTTCCTGTGGTGGAAGACTCACCTAGCACTTGCATTTGGCCCGTGGATGGCCTTTTCCTGACCTCGCTCCTACCCCTGCCACTCATGCTTTTCCACATTGGGCGAGTCGTTTTACACCTTGCGCCTCAGTCCCCTCCTTTGTAAAGTAAAAATGAAACCAAAAGTCTTTATCAAGTCCCTCCTCTAGTAAAACTCTGAATCTGTATCTGAAGTGGCTTTGACGGTCCTGCCTGAAGTCCCGAGTTAATGAGGAGGGAGGGAGGGAGGGCTCATCCAGTGTCATCAGTAAACCTGGTATGCTTTGCTCTGCAGGTTTTCCTATGATGGCAGGTGGAAGCAGAAATTACAGACGTCGGTGGACTTCCCATTGGAACATCTTGACTTGTCGCAGTATGTTATTGGTCCGAAGAACAGTCTGAAGAAATATAACCTGTTTTCTGTTTCAGTAAGTATCCCGCGAAACTAAGTCCTTCATTTTTTCCCCTAAGCAAAGCCAGCATCTAAAGTGATTCCTTGCCTCGGAGAGTAAGAACAGCAGGAAGCTTTGAAGGTGTGGCATACTGAACATAACTCCGTCTGGACTGAGCCCTGCCTTTTGTCTCTGGCACAGAACCACTACGGAGGCCTGGACGGAGGCCACTACACGGCCTACTGCAGAAACGCAGCCAGACAGCGGTGGTTTAAGTTTGACGATCACGAAGTGTCTGACATCTCTGTGTCCTCCGTGAAGTCCTCGGCAGCTTACATCCTCTTTTACACTTCACTGGGACCACGAGCGGCCGACGCAGCCACTTAGAAGAGGCGGTGAGCTGGTTATCTCTAAAAGGCCAGCCCCGGCGCTTCCGATCTTACCCAGATAACTGGGAAGCGATGCTGGCCGGTTAGAAGGATTCTAGGGCAGCAGGCGCTGTGTAGCTATCACATTTCAGGTCAGTGCTAATATCAAGAAAACTGACGAGTAACAGCTAGCAAGTATTGCAGTAAACAACCCTTACAGGTACCATTTATCCGGAAACAACTTTTTTAGGATGCTCCAAAGTTAAACAATTACGTAGGTAAGCATTATTATCCTCTTGGTCTAAAAACTGTATCTCTGCGCTTTCCTTTCTACTGTGATGGCCTTATCCCGTTTCTGAATCCCAGCTTGATCAGTTGTGCGCCAGTGGAGGCTGTAAAGGAGACGGAGCGCGTGCGCGTCGATAGTCATTGCACACTTGCACGTCCCTCGACGTACACAGCACAGCGGGGCGGACCGCCGGGAAGTCCAGAGCGGCTTTGTGTTCCCTCCTTTCCTGACCGATTCGGAGTCCCCGCAGTGCTCTCTTAGGGAGATGGCAGGGCAAAGTTATTTTTCTGTTGGCTTTGGGCTGTATTTGTGCACTAAATCTTTATTCTAAAAAATAAAAGGAAACTTTTCTTTAATTTTTTAAAAGAGAATTTCATTTACACCTACATTAAAGTCCTAATGAGAAAGATGGCTTGAACCCTTGGGAGTGTTCTGTCCTGCATGTTACGTGGTCCAACAACATAGTGCAGAGGAACCTGCCGCTCACCCTCGCTAGCACGTACCCACTACGTTGGTTCACAGCTTCCTTCAAGGCTCACTGCCATTCAGCCTTCCCCTTGACGCCAGAACTGACGGGCACACTGGGATTCTCAGATCGAGAGGTCAGAATAAGGTCTAGAAACGTACCCCACGGGTTCATTGTCTCAAGGGCAGAAAGGTTCTTAGGACTGGCGTGATAACGGGATAGGAGCCAGGCAGCATTGCCGAATGGATGACACTATGAACCATCTGGTGACAACACAAGGCGTTACTGGCACAAAGGAACTCACACTTGAGCAGGTCCCATGGGCGCTCATTGCTACGGATGAGTCGTTAAATCACTCCGTGAAAACAGGCCCTAAAAGTGCTCCTGAGGGACGTCACCAGCAGTGAGCCCTCAGGGAGACGATGCAAAGAAGGGATTTGAATTGTGCAGCTCAGAATTCTTCTTGCACTGCAATTAGTCTAAGACTTGTAGGTTCCGAACAAAATGAGTTTATCAATGAAATCTCCTCAGTACAGTTTTAGGGCCATAGAGACCAATGGAACAAAAATAGTTTGGGGCCAGCTCCGTGAAATACTTTTGTAAGAGAATTCACTCAGGAAATGTTTGTATAATCGCTGAGAAATTTGGTGTTAGAAATCCACCCCACTAAGCAGTGGCTTGAAGGCCCTGCCTGTTAGCGTTGCATCACTTTCCCAGGACCTTGTTCAGCGAGCCAGACCACTGTGTAAAGGGTTTTTGCCCCCCTCGTTTTCTGTGTAAAGGTTTCATAATATGCCAGAGACTTTATATGAAAAAAAGAAAAGAAAGCATGATTTTAATGACATTGCAAGAGTTTAATGACAAGGTAAAACGTAGCTCTCAGTTTCTGATTGCTGTTTGCAGACGTCAGGAAACGCCTCCCTAGGGCTTGCGCTTCTGTACGGGTCTGGAGAAGGGCTGGCAGCTGTAGAACAGGAGGTAGGCTGTGGACGTCTGAACTGCAGTGCTGGGGATCTCACTGACTCGACAGTCGTCAAAGCTGAACCAGCTCTGGGTACCAGAGTTCTTGCAGAAGGCCGTGTAGTGGCCGCCGTCCAGGTCACCAAAATGGTTCTAGGGGAAGAGCAATACCAGGCTTAGTGTGCAAACTCCCAGAACAAGAAAGGTAAGGTCAAGGGATTTTTCATATTTGTCCCTTAGCCTAAATTAAAGAGAGGATAACTTCTTACATACATAGAGCCTGACTTCCAGATTGCTTTCAATCACTAGAACTGCTGTCATATTCTTCCTGTTGATTATTTAATCATCTACATTTAGCCTCTCACTAATGTCCATCAATTAAATTTACTGAGCACATACATTTGAGTAGACTTCATAAAGTGTGTGAGGGAATTCCATCCCGTTTCATTTTTCCATCAGTTTTTTAAAGCCCCCTCGTATACAAGGATAAATCAGGTTTTGCTTCTAGGGTTCCATATCATACTTGTCCATGTTTATTCCATACGATTCATATTTCAACATGTCTGTGATCCAGGGAGAGTCACAGACAAGTGCTCGACATTGTCTTGTGACGGTGCCTTCAACACCGCCATCCAGTCCAAACCATGGCTTCCACGGGCATCTGCTGCACCGGTTCAACTGAAGGCAGAGGGTCAGCTCGGAAGACTGTAGGACGTGGCTTTTGGGGCTCCCAAAGGGCTATTCTTGAAACCAGAATGATAACCCAGGAGTTCTAAGAAAATGGAAAACTCCGCTGGTGGGGAACAGGCCTGCCAAGTTGTACTGCTGTTTTCCACCATGACAATGTACCTGCGCATTCTTTAGGGCGAGAAAGGGCTGCGCCCTGAAAATTTCCTAGGGCCGCCTTGCTCCATCCTCCCTACAGCCCTGAGCCTGCACCCTTACGTCTCTTAGTTCCAGGATTGAAGCAATGTTGAAAAGGAAGGCGAGTCCCCCCGAGCCCCCAAATGATAAAGGGAACAATTCACTACAAATAATATCACACACCTAAATTCTGCAGATAAAAGTCATAGAATTACTAGATTTGACAAAAACCACAATCTTTAAATACTTCTTTTAGTCATTAAAGAAGCAAGTGAGCTTGTTAGTACATAATATTTGAACATAAAATATATATATATTGGGGGGGATCATATCCTCATCAATGAGGGTGGCGCGTGATGGAGACCCAATGCCCATCTCTAGACAACTGGACATACCTTGCAGAGGGGTAGTGGGGAGATGAGCCACTTAGGGTACAGTATAGCAATAATGAAACCCACAACCTTCCTCTAGTTCTTAACGCTTCCTCCCCCCAGCTACCAGGACCCCAATTCTGCCTTGCAGACCTGGTTAGACCAGATGATGCACAGTGGTACAGATGGGAATTGGAAATGCAGGGAATCTAGGACAGATGAATTTCTCAGGACCAGGGGTGACAGTGGCGAAACCAGGAGGGCAGGGGGCTATAGAAAGGGGGAATTGATCACAGGGAGCTACATATAACCTCCTCTCTGGGGGACGGGCAGCAGAGGGGTAGGTGAAGGGAGACGCCGGGCAGTGTCATATAAGATATAATAATAATTTATAAATTATCAAGGGTACATGGGGGAGAGGGGAGGAGGAAGGGAGGGGGAGGGGAAAAAGGGAAAATGAGCTGATTCCGGGAACCCAAAAGGAAAGCGAATTTTGGGAATAATGAGGGCAACAAATGTATAGATGTGCTTTACACAATTGATCTATGTATTGTGATGAATTATATGAGCCTCAATAAATTGATTTAAATATATATATATACATATATATGTATATTTTTATGGAGTGAAATAGAAACCCAGAAGTTTCATTTTAAAATTGTTTTCAAGCACACTGAGCATGGGTCTCAGCACGGATCAACATCTACCAAAGACTATCGTGGTGATCATATTTTCTGACCAGAAAAATGCAATTAAGTTAGGAATCAATATCAAAAGTACAAGAACAAAGAGAAAAATCATGTTTGGAGTTGTTCTGATGCACCTCAAAATAACAAGTATGTCAAATACAGTAAACTTGAAGTAAAAGGAAGACAATAAAGTAAAAACAAATGAGCTATAACGAATAATGGAACTAACAAGCCATAAGCAGCTTCTTTCAGCTTGCTAAAAAAATAACCCTTTGGCAAGACTGATGAAGGGAAAAAGGTCAATCCCAGATAAGACAAAGAATGGATAAAGCGAGCACGAAGAATGATAGTTTAAAACATGATGAAAAAACTAAATAAGAAAAAGATAACGAACACCTAATGCCAGTGAGTCTGTACAGATCATTTCATTTTGTAGGGGTGAAAAAACATTGAGAAACAGTTTGGGTAAAACCGCAAAGCCTGTGGAACAAAAGACCCGGAACGCCGTCGTGATACACACACACACAGTCACCGTTCCAAGGTCGCGCGCACACACACACACACACACACACACCCCGAGGACCCAGTTCTCTGCCCTGTTGGGTCTCAGAGAGTCAGAAGGGAGTGTTGGGGGTGCCTGCTTTATAGAGAGAAGGAAAGGCAAACTCCCGGCCACCGTCGATTCTGACAGTGGCCCCACACGACAGAGTAGAACTGACCCTGTGGGCTTCCGAGGCTGTAAATCTTTATGGGAATAAAAAGGCACATCTTTATCCCAAGGGAAAGCAGCAGAATAGCAAAATCAGCCAAGCGTACAGACGTGGCACAAAAGTGAACAGGCAGTGAGCAGGGCATTTTACCCATCCGTGGCTCTTAGTGTTTCACATGCAAACAAGGTGCTTGCCGGCTCTGTTTTCAAAGGCGGGTGGGAGGATCCAGGGAGCGAGAGAAGGGCTGGGTGGGTATTCAAGCAGATAATTAAGGTTCTTTACAATTGTATTTTGAACAATAGCTTCAGGATCTTACTCACCACCACTGCACAGAGGTTGTATTTCGGCTGTTTCCGGAACACTGGACAGATGTAGGGCGTGAGGTCCAGGTTGGTGAGTGGGTAATGAACGTCTGCCCTCAGCTTCCTCTTCACTGTGCCCTGAACCTGGAACCTGGGGGTACGCGTGTAAAACAGAAAGTACGTGTGTGAACCACTCAAAGTCCAAAGAACTACAAAACACCAGCTACGGTTCAGAGTAATTTCTGGGCAAGATTGTGTCCAAAAATGCCTGTTTCCCCTTTGTGCCAGCACACTTAGGAGCCACATGCAAATGCCTCACCGTAACCGAGACTGGAGTGGGCCGAGAGCTTGAGTCGGGCAGGGGGACCATGTGGGTCACACGAGGCTCCCAGCTGGGCATGGGGAGAGAGGAAGAGCGAAAGGACAGAGCCAGCAGGGCCCCACACCCTCCGGGGCCTTGGCTTTGCAGAGGCTGTTTATTCGTTTATTCTAATTAAGCTGGCCCAGCTGCCGCCTCGGCTTGATTCACCCCAGGCTTTCTTGGCAGTGTCCTATTTTCAAGCTCTTAGGTTTTATTTAATACGAGAAAATCTTGTGAAAACGGCAGGCTGTGCTTGTCTAAAGGGGTCAGAAGGCACAGCCACCTGTAAGCTGACAGCAGAATCACCCAGTGAGCTCTTATTTTGAAGCAAGTCTGCCCATTCTGGAGGAAGGGTTGATTCAGGTCCAGGGCAGGGAAATTAGTAGATTGAGCCTGAGCTATTCAAAGAAGAAAACTTCCTCTCAAAAACGAATGGGTTAAAATCGTTACTATTTATGAGTATCCATAGCAGCATTTTTCAAAATGGGAAAATAAGACATAAGCCCATCCGCAGGCAAGTGGAGAAACAACATGTGGCATAGCCACTCAATCAGGATTTTTCACTCAGAATAAGGGAGTCACGGTACGTGCTACAAGTTGGGGGAACCTCTAAGGTTCGTTCCGCTAGTTGAAAAATACCCCAAGCTAATGGAAAGAACTCTGTCCTACATTAAAGGGACTGCGATGGGTGCGCTGGGAAAAAGAGTTTAAAGGTAAATAAGATAGAACCCAGTCATGAAAGTTCACCTACTATTACGATTTCATTCACATGATGAAAGTGCAGAATAGGGAACTCTTACTGAGACAGAGTGGGTTGCTTAGGGCTGGGGCCCGGGAAGAGTCGGACAGTGGACAATGGTGGTGGCCAAAGGGTCCAGGGTTTCACTGTGAAGTGATGGGAACGTTCTAAACTTGCTCACATCTGAATATACTAAAAACCATTGGAACTGTAAACTTTAATTGGATAAGTGGCGTGGCATGTGAATTTTATCGCAATAAATGTGATTAAAAGTGGTTTTTCTAGACTTAAAGCTGACTGCCAAATGGAATGTATGGTCCTTCACTGGATCCTAGATAGAAGTTTTAAAAGGAATGATACAGTTTTAAGAGACATTTTGAGGGGGAGGGGAATCTATTTTTACTTTATTGCGGGTGATAAGAAATGGTGAAATATCTCAGAGAACAAAGCCCACATGGAAGAAGCACACCATCCTGTGTGATCATGAGGCGTTGATGGGATCAGGCATCAGGCACCAGAAAACCCAGAACAAACAATCCTATTGAGGTGAATGAGATGGGGATGGAGAGGAGACCCAAAGCCCATCTGTAGGCAACTGGTCATCCCCTTAGAGAAGCGTCACAGGGAGGAGACAAGCCAGTCAGGGTGCAGTATAGCACCGAAGAAACACAACTTTCCTCTAGTTCCAAAATGCTTCCTCCCCACTATCATGACCTCAATTCCACCTTACAAATCCAGCTAGACCAGAGCATGTACACTGCTACAGATAAGAGCTGGAAACAGGGAATCTAGGACAGATAAATCCCTCAGGACCAATAATAAGAGTATCAAAAGCAGGAGGGTAGGGGAAAGGTGGGGGGAGAATGGGAGAATCTATCATGATCAACATATAACCTACCTGCCCCCCAAGGGGAACAAACAACAGAAACTGGATGAAGGGAGACAGCAGTTGATGTAAAATAAGAAAATAATTCATAAATTATCAAGGGTTCATGGGGGAGAGAGAGCTGATACCAAGGGCTCAAGTAGCAAGAAAATATTTTGAAAATGATGATGGCAACATATGTACAAATGTGCTTGACACAATGGATGATGTGTAGATTATGATAAGAGCTGTAAGGGCCCCCAATAAAATGATTAAACTTAAAATATACATCTCAGAGAATGGCAACGGTGTGGTTGTGTGGGTGAAGGTCCTTATTTTGGGGCGATGCATGCTGGAATATTTCAGCATGAACCCCATGGCGCCTGTATCTGAACTTCAAATGGTTCAGCTAAGAAAAGGGAGGAGGGGAGAAACTGAGGCAGAGAGAGAAATATAGCAAAGCGTTATAAACTGTTGAAGAGCATGGGTCTGTATTATATTTCAATTTTCCAGTGGGCTTGAAGCTTTCATGATTGAAAGGCTAGGGAAAATGTAAAAAGTAAAATGGGATCAGAATCCCTAAGAGTGGGGTCACTCACGGGAGATGTGTGTGTGTGTGTGTGTTTGTGTGTGTGGATATAACCAAGGTCTACAGACCAGTTTTCCATTAAACAATCCATACACCTTTTGTTTCATGCCATTTATTCCAATCCCCACAATCTAATGTCACTTATCCCACTTTATCCTTGTGTTTCCTGTTTCCATTGTGATTTTCCTAACCCTTCTGAATTTTTTTCTGGGGTAAATACCGCCCCTTTGATCTCCAAAGTATGATCATTCTAAGGTGTGGGTATGGCCCTAGTATTGTTATTCCCCTCAAGGACTTCTCTATTAATTGGCTGAAATTGAGCTATGGGGATGCAGGAGTCCCACTAGTCTCTGGCTAACCAGGAAGCCTGGTTTGTGTTTGTTGTTGGGTTTGTTTGTTTGTTTAATGATTTTGAGTTTCTTCTACACTTTTCGCCCACTTTATCCAAAACCACCTACTGGGACTCTTTTCAGATCCAGTTGGTCGCGGATCGTGTACCCCTCTGTAACTAAGGGAGGGACGGAAACATGAAACACAGGGAGGCTAAGCACTGGTGCAAGGAGGGCGTGGTGAATGTCACCTTCACCGATTTCCCAATGATACATTTCTGTCCATGCATACACGTTTGAAAAACCAAAGAAGTGGCGTCACTAGACCAGCATTTATCTTGACGGCCCCTGCTCAGTCCTGTTCACACCTGCACATGTGAGTAGGGAATGCCCGAATCCATTACCTTTTTAAGTGAAAAACAATGATCTTGGGTGCCTTGGCGATACTGGCCCTCACGGCTGCTTCCTGCTTGGTCTCACAAAAGGAGCAATGGAGTTGGTCGTTCCAGGTCAGTGTGTCTTGCTGAAAAAAGCACTGGAGACAGTCCTATTGAGAAAAAGAAGAACATCCCGTGACCACCGGGAACCTTCTGAGGCCTGTCTCCTGTTCACATGGGAACTGCGGGGCCGCCTGGCGACGCCATCCTCCAAGGCTCAGTCCACGTCCACTCCGGGAGATCCCAGGGCGGGAAAACCCGCCTGGCCAAGTAGACGCCTCCCTTCGCACTGGACGACGGAAATGACCTGTCTGCATCATGTCTGCATCAGCACCTTCCAGTTTCTCGGTGATTTCTAGAATAATATTGACTTTGCGATTTCCATGACACCGGTGGCTTTGTCGGGTTATTTATCTCGCGCTCCCAAAGGGGCCTGGTGACTGAGAAGTGGTCACAGCTTTAGTCTTTTGGGAAAGGCCATGAGAATGACAGGGTTGGGGTGGGGACAAAGAACAAATGTGGGTGAAGGGAGGCAGCGGAGGTTTTAAGAGATGAAAATAATAACAATTTATAATTTATCAGGGGTTCGGGAGGGTGGGGGAGGGAGGGGGCCAAGACAGGAGCTGATACCAAGGGCTCAAGTAGAAAGAAAATGTTTTCAGAATGATGATGGCAACAAATTTACAAATGTGCTTGGCACATGGATGGAAGGATTGTGATAAGAGCTGTAAGACCCCCCCAGTAAAATGATTTATTAAATAATAGCGAGATAGTGAAGAAGACAGTAGAACAGAGATAAATCAGATCCCAGGTCCCCAAGAGCTAAGTGACACGCACTGATAAGCTGTCAGCGCTAACCTCGATGCCTGTGATTATACTTCCGTCTGGCAAAGGGTTTCCTTTGTTACATTAATAAAACATGATCCACGTTGGAGCCAACGTAAGACAGATTAAATGGAAGCTAGCCGAGAGCGGACACAAGAGAAGTCAGACCACGTGTAGGTTGCCCAGGAGTGGAAGTTCCCATGAGGACCTCCTCAGAGCTCACAGGGAGTCGGCCCCCGAATTCAGACTTCTAGCCTTCTAATCTGGGAGAAAATTAACTTCTGTCTGGTAGAGCCAGCCCTTCGACTACCACAGCACATCCTACAGGTGGCCACGTCCCAGGCCCCACAAGCCCTTACCCTAAAGACCCAGGGGAGCAGAGATGACCGCAGCAGCTCCCTTTACAGAGTCTTGGGAATTCAGCTCAGGCAATACGTGAGGGAGAACGGAGCGGGGACCTGGGGGCACGGTGGTCTTCGGTTCTCCAGCTCTGGTTTGGGGAAACGGTCACGGGAAAACCATAACGAAGGAGGAAACTTTATAAAGTTGGATCAGCTGCCAGCAAACACTGCTTCCTGTCTCCTAGCTGCTCCCTGCCTTCCCCTGCCTGCGCTCCCCCCACACCAGGCTCTGCATTCTACTCTCCCCTTCCAACACCTTCCAGGCTTTAGACTTTTGATGTGTACACTTGATCTTAGCCGAGAAGCAATAGACTTTTCACGTTTACACTTGATCTTAGCCGAGAAGCGATGGGCTTTTCACATTTAGACTTCACATTTCACATTTAGACTTCAATCTAAGCTATAAGAGGCTCAGGACTAAAAGTCTAAATCTTTTGTATCTACTGATAATTGGGAGCTGTAGACCACTGGGGCAGGGGAGGGTCACACTTTTTTTTTTTGTAAAAAAATCTCATTACCATCTCCAACAAACCATCTCAATAGACTACTTACATCCTACCTATTTTCCCAAGAGGTCGTTCTGTTGAATACGTTTTACAAATGACTTTTGGCTAGTATGTCTCTTTTCCACAAGACTGTGGTGAGCTTCCTTTTTAAAAACATTCCCAAAGGAAAACACTGGAGGCAATCATGCAGAGAGGACCCAGGCTGGGAGCAAGACAAGAGGCGGGCAGGGTCCCGGGGCAGGGCGTCCTACCTGCAGAGAGCACTGGTACTCGGTGGGGATGGGGAGGGAGAGGACGGTGAAGACTTCGTTCTTGTGGGTGCAGTTCTCACACTTCAAGCAGATGATCCCGTAGTTGAGCTGCCCTTCAAAAAGCCGTGTGATGACGGAGGACTCCCTGGAAACCACCTTCCTGCAGCATCGTTGAGTAGGTCCTATCCCGAGTGCTCTGTGGTGATTCCGAACCTAGGGACAAGCCCCAAGGAACACCGGCGATGAGCAGGAGGAGGAGGGGGATATTTTAAAGTTTAACAAAATGGATGTTGTCCCTCCTACACTGGTATCAGAAGCCACTTCACGGGGATTCAGAGAGTGTGTTTTGTGCGGTTTCTGAGTTACCGTGGGTTGATGATGTTGAGAAATGGGGGCACCTTGACTCTCAGCACTACCCCCACTCCCCACCCCTGCCCCACACCCACTCCCACCCCACAGAGCACGGCGCCTGGACAGGACTCGGTGGCCTGGAGCCAGCTTTTCTGGGGCCTAGCGTCAAAAGTGAGGAAGGACAGTCTGATCTAGAGGTGGGGTAAAGGAACGATGACGTTTCCCTCCCAGGCCTGCAGGTCACCTCTCCTCGGACCGTTAGAAAACAGACTTTCCAAAATCTTCCATTCGACCACCGCCACTAGCCTCCTGGTCTGCCTTGAATCTAGCTCACCCAGCGTTCCAGGAAGCACACCCTCTTTTCAAAGCCTCAGACGACTGCACCGAGACACCCCACCCACCGCAGTTCCACAGGCAGCTGTCATGGGAAACTGGGCACATGTGTTCACGTTTACAGGCTTCTCCGTTTACAGACTTCTCCGGTCCCTCCTTGCTGCCAAGGTCTCCCACCCGATGCTGACCTAACGCCCTAGGAAGCTAGGAGGCTCTTTCAGATGGGCTGCATAGGGCAGCTGACGGGATTTTTACTGATCACCGGCCTCCCTTGCAGCTAAAAGAAAAGAAAGTCCTAAAAACTGCCATGAGTCTTGTTATTCATAAAAGCGTTAGCTGGATCGAGGCCTGGGAAGGAGGCCAAGGAGCCGCTCCGGCTGTGATGTGGGGGCGCGGTGCTGCTCGGATGGGAGGGGTGAGGCGAGCAGCCTGCAAGCACAAGGACACTGCCTCGGCCCCCCAGACCTGAAGGCAGTGGCTTTCATAAGGAAGGACCCCCCACCCCCACCCCACCAAAGGTTGTCCCTGCCACCGATAGGCCCACCCTGGAACCGAGTCCTGAGCTTCGTACTGCTGTGGGCTTACAGGTACCCGAGCGTGTCTCAAGTTGTTAAGGTCTCACGAGGGATACCTTTTTTAAAAGTGATTTCCTGATTAGGCTCATAAAAAGAAAAGAATCCATGCAGTTCGTATTTGCAAAGAACGAGGTCCGAGGTGAAGCCTCCAGAGGCTCAAGCAGCGCCTCCACTTGGCTGCTAGGTTGCATGTTCGGGTGCGCCCAGAAGCGCCTCGGAGGAAAGGCCTGGCGATCTGCCCCCCAGAGAAGAGGCTGGGGGAGCGGGGGTCGTTATTCCACGTACCTTTTTCAGAGCTTCGTGAAGTTCATTCAGGACGTAAATTAAGAATTCCTGAGCGTCCTGCTGTGTCCTCTTCAGAAACGCCGGGTAGAGGCTCCCCAGAGCCGACCGGAAGATGTCGGCCGAGACGGAGTCGGCGTCTCCGAGCCACATGTCCGTCATCAGGTAGGCAAACGCCGTGGCCACCTCCCCGCAGCTCCTGCAGGGTCGCGGGGCGCGTGTCCGGGCGGCTGGGGCGCAGACAGGCCGGGACCCAGCGGACCCGCCCGGGCCGCGCCCTCGGGGACAGGGGGGCGCTGCCCTAAAGCCACCAGGTAAGCACGGGCTAACGTGTGCTTACGTCCTCACCTGTGGGGAAACGAACCTCTGCAGCTGTTCACTACAGACGAGTAAGTAAGCACACGGAAGCCAGTGCTTACCTGTTTCTAGCACGGTTCAGTAGGAAAGGGAGTCTCTACAGATTCATCAGTAAGCACAGGTAAGCCCGTGCTTACCTCTGCGTAAAGGGTCATCCCGTCCTTGCTGCCTTGGTTGGCCCTTCAGAGGGCCACAGGAGGAGTGGTACCCTAACTGCCCCTCGGGGAGGTGCGCGCCGGCTTACTTTTGCAGGGCGGTGATGTACTTTCCGGAGAGGAAGTACTCCGCGAGCGGCGAGATGCTGCACAGGCACTGCAGGATGGCGTTCATGTAGCACGTGTTGCCCGAGTTCCGCAGGCCCGTCACGCCTTGTGCGTGGGGCTGGCGCTCCTTGGCCTGCTTGGCTGGCCTGCAGCCATAGTTATCTGCACATTCCGCGCTGGCAGGCAGGCGATCCGAGGGAACAAAAGGTACGAAAATGAGAACAAGCCCCTTCGCCTTATGGAACCGAGAGGCGCTCTGAATAGGATGGTCCTCAAGCATACTTTCTCCCCTGGACCATATTCTGACGTCAGGGTCTAAAACCTTTTCCTTAGATGATGTGACCAGGTACTGCAGCCAAGCAGATCAAAGACAAAGGCTAATTCTTAAAACCAAAGCAAGAGGACCAGATGCCTCTCAGAGTCCCAGAATCACTTGACTAAAAATGTAAACAGCAATGGTTCTCGTCTGCTGGGCAAACAAATTATTATTAGCAGTAACAATATTAACCACAGTAACTAGAGTTGATTTGAACACCTGCTGGCATTCGATAAGCCTGGCACGACATTAGGTGTTTGTGAAGAGGCCTAGCGGTGTGGTGGCAGAGTGGTTTTGAGTTGGGCTGTGGTCCGAAAGTTCAGCAGTTCAAAACCACCAGCCAGATCCTCTGAAAAAAGACAAGGCGTTCTCCTCCAGCAGAGAGTGAACGTCTCAGAAACTCACGGGCAGTTAGTTCTACTCTGTGCTGTAGGGTAACCATGAGTCAGCACTGACTGGATGGCACCGAGTTTGGTTTGGGTTATTGTGGTAGCTACATAATTTCCTGTCAACTTGAAGATATATAAAAGTTTAGGGGTGGAGTCTAGCCTGTCAATCAGGTCAGCTTGATGGTGCCTCCTTGTGGGTGTGGCCTTCTCAAATGGAGAGTCCTGGGAGCATACCCCCCCATCTCTGCTTTCACCTTCTTGCTGGTTGACCCTGATTGCTTCCAGAGCCCTGGCTATTGGAGCCACAAGACTTTGCACCCACCATCAGGTGATGTTCCTGTATTCTGCATCATTACATGTGGCTTTGTGAGTCTAAAGAGGGACTTATGGACTAGTACCAGACTTATGGACTTGATTTTGGACTAGCTGGGATGTTTTCTTTCTTTCTTTCTTTCTTTCTGTTTTTTTTTGTTTGGGGGGTGGGGGAAGTTCTTGAACTCAAATTAATTCTTGATATAATGCTCTTTCTTACACATATAGATGAGTATCACTGGATTTGTTTCTCTAGTCCACCCAGCCTAATACATTATGAGTTTTAACATGCATTTACCCATTTATTCTCTACGATAACTCTATGGGGCAGATACAAGTATTTTTAAGTCCCTTCTTACAGATGAGGACTCACATTTAAATGGCCTGGTCACCTGCCTGTGCTAACATGCTATGGGATGTCTATGTAGAAAGAGGGAATAGCTATCTGAGCTATTTGCGTTTATACAGCACATGTACCCTAGTGGCGTGGGGGGTTATTGTTGGGCTGCTTAACCATAAAGTCAGCAGTCCGGACCCCCCAGCCATTCCGAGGGAGAAACATGAGGTTTTCTGCTTCTGTAAAAATGCACAGCCTTGGAAAGCCACAGGGTCAGTTCTGCTTATCCTACAGGGTCACTATGAGTTGGAATTATCTGGATGGCTATGAGTTTTGCTTTTTTAATTTCATATTAAATGTACTCTTCAAGAGTACGTTCATGTGTATATTGAGAGCGTAATGAAACCCAGTGCCACGGAGTTAATTCTGACTGTGGTAGTTACATAATCTGTTGTCAATTTGAGACTTGAGTGGAGGGGTGGAGTCTAGCCTGTCAATCAGGTCAAAGCTTGATGACCTTTTTTGGAGGTGCTAAGGAGATAATAGCTCGCTGGAGGCAGGACATATGCTCACTCCCTGCGAGACATTCCTGACTACAAGCCATGTGGAGCTATGCTGATGCAGCCAGGGCCCTGGGAGCTGTCAGAGTCATGTGGAGACCCCTGCCAAGGCTGAGATGCTTCTACTGCCACTGGATCCACAAGACCCTCCACCCACTGGCCTGTGATCTTCCTGCATTCGGCATAATTGCATGGTTGTGTGAGTCTAAAGAGGAATTTATGGACTAGTATTGGACATATGGGCTAATATTGAATTTATGGACTTGATCTGGACTGAGCTAGGATGTTTTGTTAATGTACAATTACTCTTTATATAAAGCTTTTTCCTATACACACGAGTGTCTATGAAGTTGTTTTTCTAGTCTACCCAGACTAACACAGACTCATACAGACCCCACAGAAAACTCTGCCTCATGCTTTCCAGTACTACAGACCTTCAGGGAATCAGAGTGCTTCCTTCAGCCTTCTCCGGGTAAGCAGGCAGTTGACTAGAACTGCTGAACTTTAGATTCTCCGGTGAGCTCTTTAACCACCCGAGCACATAAATAGACAACCACACATCCATCCACTTCTCTCTCTCTCTCCTGTCTATCACCTATCTACCTACATAGGAGGGGCATCAGAAATTTCATGGACACAATGGATGGATGGATGAATTGTAATAAGAGTTGTATGAGCCCCAATAAAATGATTTTTTAAAATTTCCTTTTTTTGCCCCGCCCCCTTGGATTTTTTAAAATTTCATGGATAACTTTTAATTCCATTTTCCCACAAACATGCTGAAGTCCCGTGCTGGCCCATCCCCCGACCTCATCCAGAGAACATGAGAACAAGAACGGGGTTCGATGTAGTCAAAAGCCCACCTCAGATAGAGTCCTGACTAGGCCACCTACCAGTTCCAGGGGCTCTGGCGCCTCTGCCCGTTTCTCATCTAACACCAGCCAACAAGCCCACCTGCCTTGGGGGGCATCCAGGGAAATGGGCACACGGTGTTTGACCAGCAAGTCCCCAGGGTCCGCTGTGTGTGGCTGCCCAGAGGACACCCAGCTTGGGCCGTGGCTGTCCCCACCCCCCTTTTCCATCCCTCTGTCACGGGGGCGGGGCCGGGGGGTGGGGCACTGTAGGAAAGCCAGGTACCCCTTACCCCTAGCCACCAAATCAATGCTTGCCTGTCTTGGGCCACCCCCCGGGGTCCTGACTGCCCTCTGCCCCAGGGAGCTTCTCTGGCCAGGCAGGGGACCGGGAGGCCGCTCACAGGATGTAGTAGATTCCGAAGTCGTCGGCCTGGAAAGGCCCTTCGGAAGTCATTGTCCCCGAGCCGCCGGCCGGACTGGCACATCTACTCGGGAACGTCGCCCGGTCTTGGCGACCTCATTTCTCCGAGCGAGCCTTCCGTGTCCGTGTTAAACCCTCGGGCCGCTCCGCGCCCGTCAGCAGCGGCAGACTGGGGTTTTTCACCTGCGCCCAGCCACCATTCCAGGTTAGAGCCCTCGGTGACTCACAATCCTCGCCACTCACCCTCCATTCCATCCTCCATGCACCCAGTTTACCCAGAACGACCCAGCCTGCGCTCAGGGCTGCTGGGCGCCCGGGACCAACACTCGGGGAGGCAGTTTGTTCATTAAGTTAAAAACATATATTTAATTAAAGCGAATATAGATCTATTGACACACGGGGCTGCAGCGACGGGCTGGAACACGGCAACGATGGCCCGTCTCTTCTCTTGGGCGTGGCTTCGCTGTGACTTGGAACGGACTCCACGGGCTCCCGCAGCCACATGGGCTCATTGCTTGCAAACCCCAAGGGACATTGGATCAAAACGAACTTCTTTCCCTTCATCCTTGTCTCGAGCCTTTGTCTACTAGAGATGACCATCCCTCCACCCCCTTTCTCTCCTGCCCTCCCCCAGAAGGCCCTGGCCTCCTCGTGAATCACCCATTCTCAGGTAATCGCCAACTTACAGATGTCCTCACAAAGCAAAACACACTCTTGTTTTATCTTCTAAACTCTGGTGTCAACCCCCCTTTCTCGCTCCTTGCAGTGTCCCGTGTTCAGCTAAGAGGATGTTGGGGAGGGATAGGGGGCAGGACTAGGTAAAGGGCACCCCGGATGCTCGATTGCTTTGGAAGTCTCTTGTGAGTCTGTTTGAAAGTTGGAGTGATGGAGAATGGACGTACAAGTTGACTCAGACCTTCAGGATGATATGACGGAGTGAAGGGGTGGCAAGGGTATGAATTTGGGGAGGCCAAAGTAGAATGCCCTGGATTGAATTGTGCCCCTCCCCCCTTGAAATGTGGCAACTTAAGCACCATGATTCCCAGCAGTTTGTGATGTCATGTAATAGGTAATGATATAATCATCCCTCATGGTGTGAGCCGATGTGATCAGCCCATCAGAGGCCAAGGGGATTAGGGAGGCAACACCCTCGATGAGGTCCCAGGGTGGATCTGATGGAAGGGGAAGCTCCCTTGGGGGTGGCGGTTGTGGTGGCTAACTGCAAAGTCAGCAGTTCGAAACCAACAGCAGCTCTGCTGGAGAAAAATGGGGCTTTTTACTTCTATAAAGAGTGACAGTGTCAGAAACTCATGGGGGCAGTTCTGCCCTGCTCTATAGGGTTGGTATGTGTTGGCATTGACTTGATGCTAAAGGAGAAAGAAGCAAGCAAAGAGGGACCTCCCACCACCAAGAAAGAAGAGCCAGGAGGGGAGTTGGTCCTTTGGACCCCATGTCCCTGCAGTATGAACCTCCCCAACCAGAGGAAGATTGAAGCCAAGACGCAGGAGGTCTCTAAGGAACACTGGACCCAGCGATGTTGAAAAGAGACAAGAATCCTCTCTTGAGCCAACAGTGAAAGCTGCCCCTTGAGCTGGTGTCTAGATATTGAACTTCAACCTACCAAAAGTGAGAGAATACATGTCTGTTTGTTAGAACTCCCCACCTCTGGTATTTCTGTTGTAGCACCACTAGATACTGTTAGTCCGGGTTGACTAGAGAAACAGAGCTTTATTATCAAAGAGTAAGTGTATATCAAGAAAACATCCCAGCTCAGTCCAGATCAAGTCCATAAGTCCGATATTAGCCCATCTGCCCCACACTAGTCTACAAATTCTTCTTCAGACTCACGCAGCACATGAAATGATGCCGAATGCAGGAAGATCACAGGCCGGTGGGTGAAAAGTCTGGTGGATCCAGTGGTGGTGGAAGCATCTCAGCACTGGCAAGGGTATCCACGTGGTTCTTCACTGTTGACGCTTCTTCACAAGGTGAAGCAGAGGGAGAGTGTGGCCCTCTTCCACGGAGAAGGAGAGGAATTTCCCAGAATCCTCACGAGAAGGTCATACCCACCAGGAGGCATCATCAGGCTGTGACCTGATAGGCTAAACTCCATCCCGTCACTCTATTTATCAAGTTGACATGCAATTATGTAACTACCACAGATACCTAGAAGGGTTACCTATACTTTAAGTCTCTGTAATATCAATGTCAAGAATCAGTATATATTTTTGCAAGCACAACTTTTATACCCTTTTATCACCACCTATATTTCAGGTGCTGGGGGAGAGATGGGCTTTCTACTTCTGTGAAGAGTAGTTTCTTGGAAACCCACAGGGGCAGTTCTACCCTGTCCTACAGGGTCACTATGAGTCAGCATCACCTTAATAGCCATGAGTTTGGCTTTTTGTTTATAGGACAGGTGAGCATTCTGATGTCAATTACATTGTCTTCCTTCATAAACTCTTCACTGTGAAGAAGAAAATTCATTCAGAATGTTCTCTGTCCGAAATGTGGCATGCAGCAAGTCCCTCTATTGGCTTTTCCTTCATTGTACTTCCAAGCTCGAATTCCTACCAGTTATTGTATCAGTTATTAACCCGCAAGAGAATCACTGGGCAATTGTAGTCACGGTGCTGTGTGGATAACAGTGCATGACATACCAGTCTTTCCTTCATTTGTCTAATAATCTATTGTTCTGGTTGATATTCACAGTTCCCAACTCTCTCTGTATATTTTCCTTCCTCACATGTGCACAATGTATAACGAAGCATGTGCGTGGCTTGCTATTACTCAAATTCTTCTTTTGGTTTTATAGTCGGTTCATGGGGCTACTTTTAGCACCCTGTTTTCCCCTAATTGCACTCGTAGATGGCATCTCATATGCTAGTGCTGCTGCAACACAAATGCCCCAAAAGGGTGACTTTAAAGGACAGACACGTGTTTTTTTACCATTTGAGGAGCTCACGTTACACTTACTGTCATAGGGTTGATTGCGATGCACAGTGGGTTACAAGCTAGGTTCCTTAACCACATGGTCTGAAGTTCAAAATCCATTGGAGAAAGATGAGGATTTCTGCTCCTGTCAAGATTTAGTCTCAGGCTTTGGGCCTCTGCTCAAGCCTTCTCTCCATGCAAGAACACTTTGTTTTAGCAACTTGGCATTCTGTGATGCTCACCCTCCTGACGACCGCTGAAGACAAAATAGGTGCATAAACGTGGTGAAGAAAGATGATGGTTCCTGGCTAGATATAGCGTCTGGGGTCTTAAAGGCTTGAAGTTAAACAAGCGGCCATCTAGCAGAGAAGCAACAAGCCCACATGGAAGAAGCACACCAGCTGGTACAATCATGAGGTGTCCACAGAATCAGATAACAGGCACCAGAAGACCCAAAACAACAACAACAAAGCATATTGTTGAGAATGAGGGGGGTCAGAGCAGAAACTCCAAACCCATCTGTTGACAATGGGACATCCCCTCACAGAAGGGCCACAAGGAAGGGATGCGTCAACCAGGCTGCAGTAAAGCACCAATGAAACATACAATATTCCTGTGGTTCTTTGAGGCTTCCTCATCCCCCACTATCATGACCCCAGTCCTGCCTTTCAGTTCTGGCTAGACTAGGGCATGTACACTGGTCCAGATAAGAGCTCAGGACACATGGAATCCAGATCAGATAAACCCCTCAGGAACAACAATGGGAGTAGCAATACCAGAGGATAGGGGAATGGTGGGGGGAGTAGGGGGAACCAATTTCAATAACCAATGCATAAGCCCTCCCCAAGGGGGACGAACAACAGAAACGTGGGTGAAGGGAAAAAACAGCCAGTTTAAGATATGAGAATAATAATAATTTATCTAGGGGTCACGAGGGCAGGAGGGGGAGGAGGGAGGGAAAAAAGAGGACCTGATACCAAGGGCTCAAATAGAAAGTAAATGTTTAGAAAATGATGATGGCAACATATGTACAAATGTACTTGATACAATTGATGCACGGAATGTTCAAGAGCTGTAAGAACCCCCGATAAAATGATTTAAGATTTAGTCTCAAAAAAAAAAAAAAAAGAAAAGAAAAGAAAGATTTCGTCTCAGAAAGCCCCAGGGACAGTGCTACTCTGTCCTGTAGGGTCAACATGCGGTTGAGAGGCTAGAAGTCCACATTCAATGTGGCTCAAAAGCAAGCTCTTGGTCTCATTTCAGGTCTGGGAGCTTCCAATCTTGGGCTTGTAGGTTCTTTTACATCCATCTTCCTCAGGTACCACCTTTCCAGGGGTAAGGTTTGTATCTGTATCCACTGCGGCCTTCAGTGTGGACTCCAACTCAATGTCAAGGAGACCCAAATCCTCACAACTGGGACCATAGGTCACATCAGGATAGACGGAGAAAAGATGGACGTTGTTGAGGATGTCGTCTGGTTTGGATCCACAGTCAATGCTCATGGAAGCAGCAGTCAAGAGAGCAAAAGATGTGTTGTATTAGGTAAATCGGCTGCACATGACCTTGTAAAAGTGCTGAAAAGCAAGGATGTCACTTTGAGGACCCAGGTGTCCCTGACTCAAGCCATGGTATTTTCAAACGCCTCCTATGCATGTGAAAGTCAGACACTGAATAAGGAAGACTGTGAAGTTGAATTTTGGTGCTGGCATTTCAATTATGGTGCAAAGACTGGCAAAAGACTGGTGACCATTCAAGGTACCATGGACAGCCAGAAGAAGAAACAGATCTGTCTTGGAAGAAGTATAGCCAGAATGTTCCTCAGGCAAGGATGGCGAGTGTGGTTTCACATTCTTTGGGCATGAGGGACCTCATGCTTGGTAGGGTCAGTGAAAAAGAGGGAAATTCCTAGGAAGGTGCATTGGCACTGTGGTGGCAACAATGGGCACAGACATCACAACCGTGAGGATGGGGCAGGACCGGGCAAGATTTCCTTCTGTTGGAACCGAACTCTCGATCATCTAACAACGAATTCACGGCAGCTTCATAAAACTACAGGTTTAGGATTAGGATTACCAGAAAGGCTCACTCCATTGGCCAAA